TAAATTATATTTAAATCGAAATAGAAGCCTATCCCTCAACTTCTATAAAAGCTGAAGCTTTAAATAAGTTCAAAGGAAGAGGAAAATAACTAAATAGGTTTGACATTGACGTTATTCAAAAGTAAGGAAATTTAGCATTTAGAACAGTCATTAATCCTAGCAATAATCTTATCAATCCCTCACCAGACAAAAGCTTCCAAATTGATATGTACTTTTATCTAGATTGATTATAGAATTCGCATTCACAAGTATTTAGAACGAGTTAACCCGGTCAACCCTATTTTGGCATCATTACGGAACCAACCACGACATACATTATTCATTGAACAATGAAACGCTTCGATTTAAACGATTCGTCGCTGGTTAGGCAACGCTTAGAGCACTAGTCCTGTGGGGCTCGATTTTTTCACGAAGAGAGAGGATCTCTACCTAAAAACAAAGTCACGATATTGTGGATAATTTCAGGAGTACTCTACGCATTTTATAGAGTAATAGAGGAGACTAAGCCATGACCGACCTAAACTATAACGTTTTCTTGGATTTATCGAGTTCGAGACCAGAACCTCATATTCTTAAAACTTGTAAAAATCATAAAGAGGAAAAAAAAGTCTTTCAACGCATACGATTATCTTAAAAGGCAATAAGAGATTGCATTGATCGGAATCGGAACAGGAGATGAGATTCTCAATGGAAATAGCCGCTTTATTTTTAACATGTTAACATTCTGTCTGTAGTTTACGCGAGTTGTAGACATTAAAAAAAAATACTTTAACGGGGTGTCTCCCCGTAGTTAAAATAAGTTTCGAATAAGTATAACTGATATATATCGCGTTTTAAATCGTCAAAATGCTTTATTTATATGTATTAACATTCTCCAATTGTTATTTCATTCGAGACTTAGCTTTTCTGAAAGTTACCTCGTCTTGACACAAATCACAATAGCCATTATGTAACGTTAAGAAATATCACTCATTTAATTGCGACCAGTTGATATTTGTTTTTATCATTTGCATTAGCCTAATAGCCGATGAATTTGCTAAGATAAATGGCTGAAGTATATCAATCTAATCCTGTCTGTGATCGTACTCGTATTATTAGATCTCGACTCTCGAAGTTTCCATGCGTTAATCAAACGAGATGAAGAACTCGTTAGCATTTATATGAATTTAGATAAAACACTTTTCACGGTTTCAAAAGCGAAATTGTATATCAGTTACCTTGTTTAGAATTTAACTACGGCCAGTCGTTTTGGATGTTCTGCAGCAGTGGCGGTCACGGAGGAACTACGATGTGACCACGGATATTGTTAAAAGTGTTTTATATAAACATGAGTACTTGCTGCGTGGAGTTAAAAATAACACATATCTTTAAAAAATCTTGTTATTTAAAGAAAAGCTTTTCCCAGTTATCTTTGGTTGTACATTTTAAACTCGGTTCAAACAATTATAATTTTTCTCACCTAAAGCAAGTCGGAAAACTTTTATTACTTGAATGGCATCTCTGAGACGTGCGCTTTCGAATAAACAACATTAAAAGCAAACGGATACAACAGTGCAGAGGACAATAGACTTCAATGGACAATTTCACTTTAGCTGATTCACGCCACATGTCAAGGGCACACGCAACGTTAGTTTAAATATGTACCTCTAATTATTTCATTATCTCATGTCATATTAGATTATTAGATAAAAGAAAGATTTCTCACCTATTATGACTTTCAGGTCACTGCAGGTCTAACTCAATTAGAAACACACGTTTATAATCTAATAATTGAGAAGAAAATTACGGAATTATACAAGTGGTTTGTGGTTATAGAAAATTTACAAGTTGTTTTGTATGTATATAGTTATAACTTAATGTTATTTATTCAAGTATGTAAACCTAGTGTTATAAAGATATAGAATTTGTTATTTTAAATATAGACTGGTGTGTTAATAATATTTTGTATAGTAATACAACAGTCCAAAGATACAAGTCATCTCGACTCCTTTACCAAAACGGTTGAAAGAGATGATAATGCTGAAGCTTTTCTAATGACGAAAGATATTATCTGTATATGTCTCCATGTATTACGTTGTAGAACGATTATATTTCTCATCTTCATCTACGTAATAATTAAGTGCAGTATTCTCTGTTGTTTACGCAAGTAGAACACATTTAAATGAAACACTTTTGACGGTTTAAACAGTTAACTTTTAAGGTTTAAGTTAACTTTTTTACTACGGCCACATGTTTGGGATGCTTTGCACTAAACGTTTTCATGGGGGACGTAGTTCAATTAAATTACAGATGAGTTAAATTATATATATTAATTTTTCGTGTTTTAAACCGTTAAATACGTTATTCTCGTTCTATTTAAATAATTAAATGCAGTTTGACCAAGATTACTATGTTCTTTGTAAACGTTTTAACTCATTTTTAAACAAAGCCAATAGAAATAATCGTTTTCGTTTCGTATCGTATTGATTGTATCGCATACAAATACAAAAATTCCTCTACTCCTAATATGCCAACCCTAGCACGAAGCTATACAAAGCTTTCTTACATTGTTCAGCGTGATCACGCCAGTTATCTCGGCGATTTGTGCGAATTAACTTCGACAATGCAAGGTCGACTCTGACCACGTCCGGCTGTCTGTCCGCTGTCGATTTTGTACGTCATTGGACAATACTACCGCAATTACTATGGGAATTAAAAAATACATGGGGCCTCGTGCGAGTATAGAGGCAGCGCGGATCTCTAATCCTAAAGCTACAGCTTTTATTCACGAGCGTTTCTGCCCTTTTTTCACTTTTACTTTTGATTCATAAAACTACTTGTAGCTGTGCCCGCAGCTTGGTCCGCGTAAAATGGATAGAGATTTTGGGCATGACAATTTGTTTTTGCAACATTCATCCCCTTCTTTATAAATTTTATTTATTCGTGACGTCGTTCGCGACCTGTTGGTCTTGCAAGTTAATACACAGTAGGCTATACGCAGATATATAGCATAAGAATTTCTATTGGAACAGTCATTTCAGAGATTAGCGCGTTCAAACAATCTCATTTTTCAGCTTGTATAAAATTCTACAATATAGTTACCACCTCCTTCCCATTTCGAATGCTTTGCTACATAGTGTTTCACAATTGCATAAAATTCCTATGGGATGTTTATAGAGTATTTTTGTAGTCGGTTATAAAAACAAGATCTTATCTATTCACTAAAATGACTCATATATTATTGTAGTAATAATAGCAAAGATATCTATGTCACGATTAGTGAACAATTAGATGCGGTCGTGTTTTATGTGAAAAAACGATAAGCGTGGGAATATAAATAGTAGTTACTGCCTCAAAGATTTTACTTGTTCGGTTTTTAATGACATTTCAATAAACTGTAAGCATATCATAGGTTTGTAATTATCTAGTACATGTATAACTGTAAAATGTTAGTTAAAATGCCCTTAAATTAAGTTTCTTTTGCTCAAATTATACGACGGTACAGACAAAATACTTTACTCTGCAAACCTCGTTTGTCGGTTGAACCTCTACATTTTTCTAAGCAATAGCTTCTAAAAATCATTTCATAGTATTTTCCCGGAATTAAGATGTGGGAGTTTAAATGTTTACTAAAACCTTTGCAACAGAATCACAAAGGCATTTCGATCGTTTGTGTCTGGCTTTAAGTTACACACGAGACCTTGCGATTCTTCACGTGTTTTGAAAACGCCTATCGCAAATTAGCAAACATCGATGACAGATGTCAAAGCACCCAAACCGCAAGGCAGCGCTGAATTATTCAGACTGCGACTCAGTTGCGATACACGCCGAGACGAATAACTTTAGTGCAGCTCGAGTTACGAGCGTTAGCGGACACAATTATCACTCTAAGTCCACAGCGATAAGGGCCAGTTTGGTGTAAGAACGACATTGCTTCAGCGCATGTAAGGTCCAGATATGTCAAGGACTGTTTAGTAAAATCCGAGTAATATCACTTTCTTTGATGTGTTAGATTACCTGACTTGTAAGCAACAATTGCCAGCTAAGCTGAGTGAATACCAAAAGGGTTTTGTTGAGTTTTGCCAGCTTAAACGCAACTATCACATTTAAAATCAGGTTTAACTTTATACAAGTTAAGTTAGTAATAATCGCAAACCTTGCTTGTACTTGTTTTGTGCGAACTGCACTAAAGCAGCGTAGTGGATCTAAGCTCTTAAAAATTCTCTGCTATAGTCCAGCAGAGAGACATTAATAGCTTGAAACAAAACGAAATCTTTATAAATCCATTTTGTGTTACTCTTTATGTCACCTTTTGTGCATCTGATTGACACAACTGATAGTGTCTTTGTTTTAATAAATTTAAATAGAATAAACATCTGAGAACCCTAGATGTATAGCCAAGATAGTTTTATTATGAGACGATCGCCCACGCACACGTATCTGGTCAATCTTGACAATGCGCATATTATATTCCTTATCGTGGAGTTACAAAACAGAGGGATAAATTGCGCACTGTAGACAAAAATCAAAAAATATGGGTACAGGATTTTTTGCTTAGCAGAATGTACTAGCAAGACAAGAAATTATTTGTAGTAGGTACTCGTAAAATGAATAGCCCGTAAAACTTTACAAGAGTTTATAGAATTTTTAATTCAAACAACCTTGATTCAATTAATGTTAGGGGATATCCCTATCTCACCATCTTAATTTTGTTGCAAAAATTAAACTTAACCATAGTAGATAAGACTTTAAATGTTCCCTGTTTTCATAAAACAAATAGTAAAAAAAACATAATTAACCTAATAATATTGGATTTTTTTTATATTACGACAATAATATAAGCATATCCAAAAAGGTATGATAAATAATGTTTGTGTCACCGATTTTTTTCTTCAAGGAAACGTCTTAACTGTCAAAATATCTAGACATTACGAAATGCGAAGGGCATTTATCCTAGAAATCCAAACAATGGCATAGCTCAACACAAACACTAATAATACCAAAAAACATGTTAAAATAATATGAGTGTCGTTCGTTCTCCATCGATGAAAATTAGTATCGCACCAAAGCACCTCGCGAACGCGGCATACACGAAGACATTGACGAAAGTGAAGAAATATCAGAAGGCCTGTAACCACTGCTGCAGCAAAGGAAGAGGCTGGAGTTTTGAGCTCGATTTGTGCAGCATTGTCGCGGGCATTGGCGCGTTAGTCGTCACTGTGATCGTTCTGCGATCCCTTTACCTTTTGTACACGAAACCAGAAGGCACTTGACCAGGTAAGGTAATACTATAAACAACTTGTACAGCGACAAGACGTTGGACCTCACGATGACATTTTACAAAACAATTTTTGCGTCTCGTGTGCCTGGTTCATTGGTGTACTGGTAGCATGTATGGCTAATAATCAACCGGTCGTGGATTCGATCCCCACTGTGTAAAACATTTTTAAATCAATATATAATTTTTCTGAAACATATTGGATTCGTCTGGAAATCTGAATATTGGTAAATTTCGTCCGGGTCACGAGCCACCGTCACCACAGATGAAAAGGCCGTGAAGTGTAATCGCGTTTCGGTTTCAGTCAGCGGGTTTCTGAATATCCAGTGCCAAAATAGGCCGACAGCGCATCTTGTTCAGATGTTGCTTGACCCATGCTTAATTGTCCCCCCTCTATCATTAAAAATAATGTATGGAGAGGCAAAAGATATATATATATGTTTAGTTTAATTTCGAAAGTATCCGCTTATATTTCCCATTGTTGTACTTTACTATGTCTTTTATACAATTTTATTAAATTTCAGAATGCAAGAGCAGGAAATGCAACCGTGCACAAATGTTTTTTAGAAAAGAAACGAGAATGAGTCGCTTGAAGAGGGCTATCTATATGAAAACCCATAACGGAGCGAGGAACGTGTACCTAGCACAGCTGGGCAACCTCGTGTGGGGGACTTGCTTCCTATTCATCATCATGATCGTCTTGAGGCTCATATACAATAGATACGTGAAGGAACAAAGCAACTGCGACTTGGACTCGTAGATACGATAACATACACCGTTCTTTTGTTTCAGTGTCGACCAACAAATTCATTAATAATTCTTTATTACCTCTTTGTCCATCGAAATTCAACCATCTTAACTTTTTAATACTATTCTTGCCCTCTTTCCTAAAGGCATTTGTAATAAAATAAAATATAATTTATAAATTAAACACATCTTGCCTATTTTCTTCGTATCTCAATAACAAAAAGATAAACAAATATTTTGCAATATTCGTCTGCTTATATAGATTTTGTGCTTACATTACATTGTGTTACCGTAAATAAAAATGCTGAACTAACTTATTAAAAAAAAAAAGAGAAATTGTGTAGGGGCTTCATCCACGAGGGATCCTAAAAACTAAAAATAAACACTTTAATTGTGCATTTTTCACCCTTGAACTTTTAGCATTTGGTGACGTTATCGACATTCGGAAATTAGTAATCAACCAGTTTTACGTCCTCTATTTAATTACAGTCAAGAAAAAATATTTGGCGGAAGCTTGATGCCATCCAAATTTTCAAGTTCAAGTGATAAAATCGGTTATTATTGATTGCATATATTTCACTATTATTGAATGTAAAAATGGTTGTAGTTATTGCTTGAAGTTCCTTCTATTCCAACGACGCATTGTTATTGCGACTTTTTAATCTTGATTTTATTGTGAATGATTTTATTATCAGATCACTTTGTATACATATTTATATATAGCCAAAATAGGCAGACAGCACATCATGTTTAGATGTTATTTGACTGGGGTACCTCACCTCCCATCGAGTGAACCATACGCTTATCTGTCCTCTTCTATATTAAAAACAACACCTAAAGATGCTGTACTGAGTCACAATCGACGAAGCTAGTTCTTAAGCAAATCTATATGTTATGTGATACATATTTTATTTTACCCGAAGTAAGGTTAGAAGTCGATTATCTATATCTCCGGTACCAGTCTTCAGCTCATAGTAGTTAACTACATTTCTAAGAATAATTGAGTAACATAAATCATGAATGCTTGTCGAAATCCCGCAGTGATTTATAATAGGGCGTACAATGCATAGACTTGCCTTGACCTGACCAGTGACCAGATAAAGTACGCCTTCGTATTCTGTATTATCCCATATTGGATCATTCGTTTTGGATCGCGTAGGCTGAGCGACAAAATAAGAAAAGCGCTGACTTATGCCTTAGCTACATTTATTAAACAAATCTCCTTTTTCTTTAAGTTTAAAATGATCGTTATTAAATAAATTTACCCATCTGCTCAATCACTTTGAAGAAAATTCAATCAAACAGGTATTTCAATATTTAAACGGGCTTGTTAGTCCCACGGCATTCGACCGACAACCGGGTCCGACAAGTTTCTAGGTAATATGAATTTATATTTTTTCTTAAACATGATAGACTTAATAAAAATGTATTATTGACTGATAGAATCGAATTCCCTCCGAGTTACAAACGCCCGTTCTTAAATGGAAAAGACTCGCAGCGGTAAATTTGCGGTTCGTTTCGGTTCGGTTGCAGAGCTTTGGTTTAAGTCTGTGGATTTCTGTATATCGAAGTCAAAAAAGGCCGACAACGCACCTCGTTTAGATGTCATACGGCTAGAGTAATTTATCTTCTATCAAACGAGTCCCATACTTGTCTTCCACTATCATTAAAACATCAATAACTGGAACATAGACATTCCTGTCTCCAGCAATTTAATTACCAACACCTACATATCTTTAAAAGTTAGATAATTTACGTTTTATAAGGGATAATCATTGCGCGTTACTTCTCGCATAATACCCACGTAATAGGTAACTGGCTGAGGCAAAATTCACTGGACTGTTACAATATTAAATCATACCAACGTTAATTCCACCGCTAATCACTTTCGTTGAATGCAATAACATTTTTAGTTATAGCTCTTATACTTACTTAAGCATAAAACAATATGAAAATAATTAGCATGTTATATGAGACCGCTACAGGCAGAGTAGCCTATCTGCAATTTTATGACTTGTGTTATTTATAATTTCGTAGTCCAAAAAAGTTTACTGCCTGTGTAATATGGCATCTGGAATAGTTTCTTGTAATGTAGGGCTGAGACTAAACTTTATGAGACAGCACAAACCACAAGCTAATGGACTATCGTGGAATTATCGCAAATTTATGCACACATAATGGTCAACCTTTCATCGTAATTGTTAGGTGAAGGCGTAAAGGTTGCGGTTGAAGGTCCGACTTCAGTCACGAGTATTGTCTCTTGTAATCTGATATGATTAAGGCCGTTTTCCCTAAAAAAATGGTCCTAGCGCGTCTAGGTTCTGACCAATACAAACCTTCTAAAGAAACAAAGAAAATAATTTTTAGTCTTCTTATCAGCTATTGATAACAGCTCAGCTAACTGTTTTATCCATTTCAACCATATTTTTTTATTGTTTTATATGACGTTAAGGTCTATACCCTCTTAATGCCTTTGAACTGTGTATATCTGTGTCTATTTACACAATACTTATTAAAATTTCCTGTCCTAAATATACAACCACTGAAGTAGAGTGTAATCATACGTAACAATACAGTAGTACACGTCACGAAATACCTACTATGACTTCATAGGAGACAATACAATGCTAATTAACCATTAGTATATGTTAGCTTGCACCTATACGATATAACTATTTTCTAGATTATATCGCAATAGTAGTTTGCATTGTAAGGTCGAAACATTGACTGAGTAGGTACTTATGACTCACGTGTAGTACCGGATCTAGTGCACAATCAAAAGTATATTTCATTTTTATAGTGTGCGTAGTGAAGTTTTTATAATATAGTTCGCCTAGTGTCCACATTGTTATTATAAGTGTAAATATGCTTACGTCTTTTTTCATACGGTACCCAGAGGATAAAACCGATTCAAACATTCGAATAATTTGTTGATTGTCGGTGTTACAATGTTGAAAGAATGTAAAGGATGTAAATAATAGATAAGTAGAAAGATGGGACATATTAAAGGTTTCACCAGATAGAGAATATTTTAAGGGGCTAGTTGAGTCAATGGTGGCAATGAAGGCCATCATAAAGCTAATAAGCAACTTTAACAATGTTTATTCGTTAAGTCGCTCCAAATATTTTTTATAGTTAGTTACGAATAGTTGTATGAAAAATTTAATATATTAAACAGGTAATAAAATATTTAGGATGTGTACGACAATACAAAGACAATACAAAATATAATGTGCGCTTTTAAAATTATGTGACAATTGACAAACACAAAACGTCAAAATGTTTGAATAGTCGATCAAAAACTTTGATTTTAGTGTATTAAGTATTTTATCTGTTGAATTGTCCTGTGTCATCTGTCGCATAATATTGTGTCTATGTTTTGAGTTTTTTTTAATAACGTGAAGTTTTTGTAATATTTAATCGTCTGGTAACATGACCTCTAAGCCAAGTCTTATTTTACCGTAATTATTCTTACGTGGTCAAAAAGATAAATGAGACACTTGACATTGCCAAATTCAAAAGATATATAATGTCAAGTCATCTGTCAATGTCAAGTTTATATGACAGTTCGACTCGGCTCAGTAGTACATCCTTTTGACAAGAGATGGCGCTAGCTTCTAAATTTCATTCTCTTTACTACACTACGTACACTATAAATATTATTTGAAATACACTTTTATTACTGCACATAAAGTTACGTTGTTTAAGTTTCGATATTACTTGATTTTTTTTAATATTTAAATGATTTTATAGTTAATTATTATATATAAATAATAAGCATTGATGCAGGAATGTACCGGTTACGAAGAAAAATAAAGAGCTAGCAATTGTCAAAAAGATGCATTATATAGCCGAGTCACACAATGATATAACTTGACAATATTCTTTCTTTTCTTCTTCTTCTTAGTTTAATGGATTTCCTATTCTAAATGGATCCTGCCAATGGACATATTATGTATATTATTTTACAAACGTATTATAATATCAAATGTCATCTTGACGTTTTGTATTTGTCAGTTGTCATATGATTTTATATTAGTAGAGAGAAAAGCGTAAAGGTACATTTTATTTTAAATAAATAAATAACACGCGAAACGAAATCGTTATCATATGGTATTAAACTATTAACCCATTTAGAAGCGTTGTATTAGGGTCATTTAAAAATTTCCTTGTTTGCTGTAATACCCATAAAAAGCGAAAAGGTTATAGCAACGTAAGTACAATAAAATGCATCATTCTGTACCTGAAAAATCAATGTGATGCACCTCGAGTGCTACTTACGACTTCTCTTCAAATTCAAAGTTTTGTTATATTTCTTAGTTACGAGCAGTAATCTGACATTTAAAAATGTCGATGCCACATAGCAGTTCAAGTACAACAAGCTCAAGTACGAAGCGAAAGGAGATTTATAAGTAAGTATACTTTCATTACGTCCAAAGGCACTAAAAGAAAGTTTCGAGTTGTTTTTAAGATTTTATGTGTATGAACAAACAAACAACCATGCCTTACTTGATAAACTAAGTAAGTATTGTTGTGAATAAGAATTATTTTTAATTGACATTTCACAAATGTTAATACTAAATTTCAGATATCAAGCACCATGGCCCCTCTATTCCATGAACTGGTCTGTTCGACCTGACAAGAGATTTAGGTTGGCTCTTGGGAGTTTTGTTGAAGAGTATAACAACAAGGTACAAATACAATACTTTGTTCTCTAAACAAACATTTCTCTTTTGTGACAATGACAGAAAATGCTCTTCATATATGATTTAGAATTATTATTCCTTATTCTAAAACCTACAGGTACAAATCATCTCACTAGATGAAGAGACAAGTGAATTCAGTGCAAAAAGCACTTTTGATCATCCATACCCTACCACAAAGATTATGTGGATACCGGACAGCAAAGGAGTTTATCCTGACCTTCTGGCTACCAGTGGTAAGTTAACTATGATAAATATTTAGAATACATATCTATTCAATGTCAATTTGATTATCTATAGTCTATTTTAAGTTTTCTAAGAAAAATGTATATAGGATTATTAGTAGTAGTAAAGTATTTATTATTAAGTTTTAACTCTTAACAGATAACTAAAATAAAATTTGTATTTTAGGTGACTACCTTAGAATTTGGAGGGCAGGGGAGCCTTATACACTGTTTGAGTGTGTATTGAATAACAACAAAAATTCAGACTTTTGTGCACCCCTCACCTCATTTGATTGGAATGAGGTGGACCCTAACCTCATTGGGACGAGCAGCATCGACACTACATGTACCATCTGGGGTTTGGAGACCGGACAAGTATTAGGACGAGTTAATGAAGTATCAGGACATGTAAAGACCCAGTTAATTGCTCATGATAAGGTAAGTTGGAAAGTTAAAGGTATTTTGTTTATGAAAACCTGATTAATTAAAACAGACAACATGCAACTCTAGAAGTCTCAATCCTACAATATACATTTGTGTATTCATCAGATCCACCCTTTTATTTAAGATTACATTATTTAGACAGAATCTCATTTCAATATTTTTGTGTTAAAATATACATCTATATATTTTAGGAAGTATATGATATAGCCTTCAGCCGAGCTGGTGGTGGACGTGATATGTTTGCTTCTGTTGGCGCCGATGGCTCTGTCCGAATGTTTGATCTGAGGCACCTGGAACACTCCACCATTATCTATGAGGTACATAATATGTACTAAATTGTTGTAGATTCCATCGCCTCTCTCTTCCTAACCAAATTATGTTCTTCCCCCTAATCAAATCAGTAATTTGAGAGAAAATGGTAAGTGTAAAAAAGGACAATTACCTAATTCAGAAATAAAATGTTTCCATCCATAAAGTTGATAGTTAATAGTATAGGTGAAATATAGATGTGTGCGTTTTTAAAAGAGGCTGTCAAAGAGGCATTTATCAATAAATATTACAAATATGAATTTACTGCAATGTATAAGTACTAAATTCACATGTGTAACATAAATATGGGCTAAGACAGAAAAAAATTGGCAGTATTTTACAGACAAATAAAATATGAAGCCTTAATTTTTAAATTTACATTAACTCATATATTTAGAGTTCTAATCAGTTCAAACTGCCACTTTATATAATTTATTAAAGTTTCACATTTTCTCATCAACATAAATTATTTATAAATAAACCAATAATAAATCACTTCAGGATCCACAACATACACCACTACTTCGGCTCGCCTGGAACAAACAGGACCCTAATTATTTGGCCACCATTGCGATGGACGCCTGCGAGGTGATCATACTGGACGTGCGCGTGCCCTGCACCCCCGTGGCGCGGCTTAATAACCACCGCGCATGCGTCAACGGTATCGCTTGGGCACCACACAGGTAATTAATGCAGACACCAAGAGCAAGAACAAATTTTTTTGGGAATAACTTCTCATATAATTCTTTACTTTTCAGTTCTTGTCACATTTGCACAGCAGGTGACGATCACCAAGCCTTAATTTGGGACATACAGCAGATGCCGCGCGCTATCGAAGACCCCATCTTGGCATACACAGCTGCTGAAGGCGAAGTGAACCAAATTCAATGGGGCGCTACGCAGCCGGATTGGATTGCAATCTGTTACAATCGGCACACTGAGATACTCCGAGTCTAAATTCACAATTACTAAAGCAAAAAGGGTGGCGTCTATACTAAATTATCTAAAAATAGTATGATTAGCCAAGTGGGATTCAGTTACAATTCCATAGAAAGGAAGATAGTCTGTGAGATCCAGGGTGAGATAATTAAATCATCAACGAAATTTAAAAAACTTGTTGCACCAGAAATACGGCCGAGCAGTATTAACATTAATGTTGCATTTAAGGGATTTTTCTTGACTTACTTTCATTTGATGAGAATGTTTTAAGACTGATATTGGCGTTTTATGTTAAAAATATAAAGGAAACTAGAGGGTAGTATCATTAAAAAGGTCAATAGAGTTATTATTTTAGGGAATGACGCAAGATATTTAGGTTTTTATAATAATTACTAGCAATCTAGTAGTAGAATAATATAATTCAGCTTAATCTATCCCTTGATGTTATTAAGATTATGTAATCTCAATCATGAAATAAAATGTGATTTTTCTGCTACATGTCGCATTATAAAATATGGGACTGTTTGTTAGTTTATATTTTCTCTTGACAATGTACAAAAATACTTATTACAGCTTAAAGTATAGATTATTTGAGTTAAAAATATTGGTATAATGATTAAGTTCTTAATGTAAGTTAAATAAGTAATATGATAAGTTATTTATACAATAAACATTTCTTACTGGAAATAAAAAAAAATTGCAATATGTGCTTATGATTCCTTTAAAAAAAGATGTTTATATCAACAGAACTCAACCTGTTCGTTGGCCCAATGCAAACTCCTCATAGATCTTGAGCAGTGACTGAGGTGTGCGAGGCATAAAATCTTTGAGAACATTCTCAAAGTTGTACATTGACACAGCGGCACAATCTAGGTCCTTCTCCAGTGCTTGCAAGGCCGCTTCATGGCACAAAGCTTGTAACTCTGCACCTGAGAAGCCCTCTGTTCTAGCAGCTAGACTATGAGAATTTATATCACTTACACTCATCTTGGATAGCTTCAATTCAATTATTTGCAACCTCGTTTCAAAATCTGGTAAAGGCACATAAATCAATCTGTCTAATCTGCCTGGCCGGAGTAAAGCTCTATCCATTCTGTCTGGTCGATTAGTTGCTGCTAGTATTGTGACTGATTTCAGTGGAACCACACCATCTAGTTCAGTCAATAGTTGCGCTAAGACACGCTCATGTACGTTAGCTTCACCCGAACCTCTTTCACCCCCTATGGCATCCATTTCATCAAAGAAAATAATTGATGGTGCCACTTGACGAGCTTTCGTAAATAAATCCCTCACTGCTCGCTCCGATTCACCTACAAACTTGGAAAATAATTCTGGTCCTTTGATTGAAAGGAAATTTAGACTGCTTTCGGTTGCTAGTGCTTTTGCTATCATGGTTTTGGAGCATCCTGGAGGACCATAAAGTAGTACTCCAGCTGGTGGCTTTACACCTAATCTTCGGAAACTACTTGAATGTTTCAAGGGCCATTCCACAGCCTGACGTAATTTAAGTTTCAGGTCATCGAGACCTCCAATATCTGCCCATCGTATATTGGGTACTTCTATTAGTAATTCTCTCATTGCACTTGGTCTTACAATCATTAGAGCAGCTAGTAGATCATCTTTTTCAATTGCACCACTTCCCCTTTTAATACATTTCAAAGAGGCTTGGGTGCACAGGTTAACTAAATCAGCTGCTACATATCCATGAGCTAAATCCGTAACAGAGTCAATATCATTAGACGAAACTCTATTTGGGAGCTCTTTAAGAAGAACATATAAGATTTCTTTTCTTCTTATCCTATCTGGCACAGGTATTTCTATTTCTTTATCAAGCCTACCAAATCTTCTAAGCATAGGATCTATTGCATCAGGTTTACTGGTCGTGGCTAACATAAATACTTTACTATTTTGCTCATGCAAGCCATCCAAAAGTGCAACAAATGCTGATGTCACTCGTCGTTCCTGTTCCGTACTCCCTGATGAACGTCTAGGGCATATTGTCTCAATTTCATCAACTAACACAATGCATGGTTCACTTTCTACCGCTTTAGCAAAAAGTTTCTTCATGCTAGCCTCAGTTTCACCAAAGTATTTGCTAAAAATTGTAGGGCCATTAATTTTAACATGATTGCAACTCAAGTTATCAATTAAATATTTGCAAATTGCTGTTTTACCAATTCCCGAGTGTCCATACAGTAAAAGTCCTCTGGTAGGCTGAAATTGGGCAGAAAATCCTGCAGTGTTAAATGATATCTTAATAAGGTTTTGAATGTCTTCAATTATGTCATTAACTCCACCAATCATTTGTGGTTTCTTCACTTTGTTAGCAGGTTGCTGGTCATAACTCCATTTAGTGTTTTCTGATAAGAGAAACCATGGGTGTACATATAATAATTCATCTGATTTCACATTTACAACTTCAATTTCAATCTTTTTACCAAAATAGTAATAAACTAATATTGTGCCAGTGCATATGAAATTGTTTTTAAAATAAACTTGTAGCAAATCAACAATATTGGGATCAATCTTATGGTTTTTTATTTTAATAATAACAGTTGTTGCTTGAGGTATGTCATGTTGGAACACAGAGACACTAACATTTTTGTTGTCACTACACCAGCCTGATGGAAGTTCTGAAAATTAAAGAAAACCATGAAAAGATGAGCTCAAATTATTTAATGATTTTATATTTTTGACTAACCAGCAGCGGGTAAAATCACAGCAGCAGGGGAAGAAGTCTTAGACGGCCACATCCGTTTTAATAATATAGGCGCCCCAACTTTTTGAATCTCCAAAGCACCACCAATTACAGCCCCAATTAAAGTCCCCACAGAGGGATGTATTAACACTGCATTTCTAGGAGCATTATCAGGAAGTGAGCTACATCTCTCGAGCCATGAATGTAGTGTACCAGCCTCCACATAAGGACATTTGATTGGATTTTTTCCACAATTCAATTCTATATGAATATTTTTATCATTTGTTGGTATGGCACAATTACATTTTTCACACTCCACCCATAATGTTTTCTTCCCCTGTTTAGGTGGCATACTGAATATTATATGTACTTGCGGATATCAACAAACAGGTATTAATGTGGCTCTTAAGTTATATTAAAATCATTATATTTAGAATAGTTCGTTTAGGTTAGAATTGCAGGTTAGACTTTTGTTATTTTTTACTATCTGTGGTTTCTCTAGTCTATGTAAATTTAAATTTTTAACTATTGCAATGCGGCACTTTCTTTTGCAACATAGATAAATAATTTATGATCATAATAACATATAAGGTGTCAAAATAAAATTAGTAAGCTCATATATTATACTAATATTTGTTTGTTATACAAAAGTTACTGTGCAAAATAACTATGCGCATAACATACGCCGTAGTCTATTAGTGCAATTAAACTGAGACTTGAGAGTAAACGTAAAACAGATTAAGAACTTATAAAAAAGATGACTCTTGCCGAGTTCTTCAGTTGTTCTCTGCTAGCTTTTGGTCCACCAGTAGCAATGTTTGCTATGACCATAGCCAGAAACCCCGTAAGAATAATAATTATGATAGCAGCAGCGTTCTTTTGGCTGTTATCATTTTTACTCTCATCTTTAGTTTGGTACATAGTTGTACCTTTGCGATCTTATCTCGCATTCGGGATGGTATTTGCCGTTGCGTTTCAGGTAATATTTAAGGACACATTTTACAGTCATTAATTAACACACAAACAGCATAAGAAAATAGTTCAAATTATGATAATTTCAGGAGTGCTTTCGCTACTTCATTTACCTACTGCTCAGAAAGACAGAAGCAGGCCTAAAGGAAATTTCCGACAATCATGAGATTAGCAGTCATAAGTTGGAAATGGCCTATGTGTCAGGTTTAGGCTTTGGTATTATGAGCGGAGCTTTCGCTTTGGTTAATGTTTTGGCTGACTCGGTAAGTATTCCAGTTACTTCTTGTTATTTAACATCATTGTTAGTATGATTGCAAATATTTAATGTAATTTACAATTGATCCTACTTATTGCTTTTAAATATAAAGCTACATGGGTTGTAAAGACTTTGGGCCATCTAAATTAAAGTTTGTATGCTATGTTATAATTGCTAGATTGTAATATCTATATAGCAATGGCTATGACAAATGGACAACATCATAAGGAGATGATAAATGTTGCTTGACTAACTAAAAAAACATTTCTCAATTAAAACAGCCAAGTAGCTGAAAACACAAGATGCTTGTCAAAATGGCCTCTTTGTATTTGTAAAAAGTATTTGATGATTTGTTGTAGGTTGGTCCTGGTACTCTAGGACTACAAAGTGGGACAGAATTCTTCTTTGTTACAAGTGCTGCTATGACACTATGCATGATACTACTCAATACATTTTGGAGTGTTATCTTCTTTAATGGAATGGATGAAAAGAATTATAAAAAGATTCTTTGGGTTATTGGTTCTCACTTTTTGGTCTCCAGTTTAAGTTTATTGAACAGAAATGAGTATTACTTCCTAACAATATTGCCAGCTTACATTGTTTTGTTAATAACAGCCTTAACAGCTTTTAAGTGTGCGGGAGGCTATATTGGTGTTGTAGTCAATACATGTTTTACAAAAGCTCAATAAACAATTTCAATATTAAATACAATATAATAAGTATAAATCATGACTAGTTAGATTAAGTATTAACTTAGACATAAATTTAAGGATCTCCAAAAATTCAGTTATAAAAGTAAAGACATTGTAATAAATTATCAATTCCTTATTAATATAAGTAAATTATTGAGTGTTATAATAAAGATATACTAACCACTTAGCTTTGTGTCTTCTTTAAAAGCATTTCTACACAGTTAAATACACATACAGAAAGTTCACAAAATTGTGTCTCATAAATATCAGGGAACTGTATTAATAATCATTTTCTTCAGAGAGCTGTATTAAGAGGGATTCTATTGTCCACACAGTGTCAGGGGAGTCTACCTCTTGAGGCATGTACGACTTGAGTACTTCCAATGCTGCTTCAATGCCTTCAACTGAACCAGTAATTCCGCTGCCGACCTCCACTAATGTATTAGCTGTCTCTGTATCTTTTTTTGATGAGCTAAAACCATTCCACTCTTTTAAGTTAGTTCATTGGTAATTATAAAGTGGTAAGTGTACAGACATGAGCCAATCGTCAAGGTTAGCAGTTCAATGAAACTCTTAGATAAAACTAAAATAGCAAGGGATAATTAATAAAGAAGTATAAACATAGATAAGTTTTAAGTACCGATACTTACACAGGAGGTTTTGAAATCTCTTTCTCTAGAATATCCTGCAGATCATCTAAATCCGGAAGCGTTGGTATTTCGTCAAGCGATTCAGGCGACTGTTTTGGAATGATGAGATCTCTAAAAATTCGAAGTGTTATTTAAAAACATTATAAAAATTCTCTGCTAATTTAATAAAAAGTACGTACTTTGTTTGAAATGGTGTACCTTCCGTCCAAACGCCCACTTTTCGAGGTTCAGGCATTTTTATTTTATTCGTTTCATTCATATTTATTTTACATTAACCGGAAAAATATTGCGTTTGATGTTATAAAAATAAAATAGTTGAATCAGTAACTATAAATTATTTGTTTACAGACAAAAAAGATATTGTATCCTCTGTAAGAATATGCAATCATGGTGTAACTTGTCAATGTCAGATTGATACTACATCTAATATAAATTGTAGTTTACAAGTAAAATTAATACACTTAATAATGTAAATTATTATTATTCATTTTCTTTTTTATTATTAGTGTCCTAGAAATCTTTAAAAATGCAGGATTCCTTAGTTAACCCCGTTTTACCAAATCTTAACTATGATAACGTAAGTATATGTTTTATATAGTAATAACATACCTATTCGTAACATATTATGGTATTAACAAGCGGTATTATTTTAGATAGCTGCACTACAACAAAAACGAACACTTGCTTTTGTAAATCATTTCCTTATAACAACTGTACAGTTTTTAAATAATTTTGCAAAACAATGTGAAGAAAAATTGATGCACTTTGAAAACAAATTGGAGAAAATTAATGCTACAATGATATTATTGGAAACCAGGGTAATATGCATCATCTACATTATATATTTATACGCATTTATTTATTAATTATTGTTCAATAGTTTATTATTGAACTATAACCATTATTATTCTTTTAGTTGTCATCTATACCTGAAATTAGTACTGAACAAGTGAAAATTATAGACGAGGGAATAAAAACACAAAATACTGTACCGCACTCTGAAACACCCATTACTGAACCACACTCTGGAACACCCATTACTGTTGAAGAAGTAGCAAACTCTCCTTCTCAATTAAAACCAGAATATATGAGATTTATAAAAATGGTACAAGTTGGAGTTCCTCTACAAGCTGTCAAATTGAAGTTATCTTTAGAGGGTTTAGATCCAAATGAATTAGATATGATGTTAAAATATTAATAGTGTAAGACCATGTTAGGATTCATATATGTGATAAAACTATATTCTTGTTAACAAATAACAATCTATATTAGTATTATAAAGTTAAACAGTTTGTTCGAATGCACTTATATAAGAAAAAAATAAAGAAAATTATATATTTGAAGGTGTGTCATTGTATCTTAAAGCAGTTCTCTTTAAATTCAAAAGATTAATGAAAAACTATAGACTAACAGAAATATATCATGGCTTGACTAAGTTACTTATATTATCAGAAAGTAATCTATACTAATATTATAAAACTGTAGAGTTTGAACTCGCTAATCTCAGGAAGTACTGATTCAAATGGAAAGTTTCTGTTTGTACTGGTTAGACTTCAGAGCATTTATTGAGGAGGCCTTCACAAACAATAGGAGCAAAGGAACAGTGGGAAATGTGGAAAAACAGGAATAGTTATTCATCTTCGTGGGTGTCTGTTTCATGCACTGTGATTTCATAAAGCTTTCACATTTAACAAATTTCAATTTCCAAAATAACTATTCTTTGCAGACAGTTGTGGCTACAGGTAGTGCTAAGACTGTTAATGCAAATACTTCAGGCCACAAATGCAATTAGCAATCTGTAGCATTTACAATACTTGACCTTACAACCATATTTAAAGCTACTAAGCTATGGGTATAGCCTTTTTTAATGTAAGATATAATTGTTATGATGCAATTAAGAATTAAACTGTTCTTACTTTTTAACATGACACTAAATAAGCATTTTCCTCGAGAGAACAACTTGCTAAGATGATAAACATCTTGTAAAGTTGTTTCCTGATTAATATAAAATAGATAGTTTTTGATAAGATATAATTTTAAAGCTAGGAATAATTGTAAAATAAAACTCAACCTGTTGTTACTTATTTATTAGCCAGCTTAGAACTGAATCATCTGTCCCTTTCTCTTCTTGTCTCCTCCAAGCTCAAAATGCTTACATCTCTTGAGGGCTACTTGAGACCTCACTTTGCAGTCTGCACATTCAAGACGGAGAACAATTTTCTTTGTAGTTTTCGCCTAGAAGATAAACAATCGGGAAAATTGTATTAGAGAATAATAAGCACAACAAAATAGAAAATGAATTTGAAGTATATAATTCAAATATTTCATATATTGTTATATGTATTACGGTTTAATACACATCGTCTTCGTTCTATTAAAAACTATTGTAGTTTACATATTTAAAGAACATAAATTAATTTCACTAAGAGAGTTTATAGGTTACTTACCTTCTTTTTAAAGATGGGCTTTGATTGACCACCGTAACCCTGTTGTTTTCGGTCATAACGTCTTCTACCTTGGGCAGCGTGTCTTTCTTTAGATTTTTTGTACTGTGACACCTTGTGAACTTTGTGGACCTTGCATTTCTTGCAGTAAGTCCTGCGTTGTTTTGGTACGTTCACCTGTAATAAACAATACCCCAATAAAATAAACTGTACGCCACCTTACGAATTAAACAAACATATTGGTGCATCACTAAAAATCCATTTTTTTTTAACGAGAAATTGAGATTTAATCGGATTTAACTTATTTTACACACCATTTTTATATTTTCGGTACTTTGCCGAACAAACGTCAAAGTGAAAGAAATTTGTAACGAATGTGAGTTGTCACTGTCAACTCTTAATTATTATTACTTCACGTTGCCTTGTTTAATTGTTGTTGGTATGTTCTCGCACTGCACAGTATAAAAGATTACGGGATTTGTTATAATATTCACTTCATTATTATAAAAAAAGAAACTATATACAATTGTCAAGCACAAATGGAATATATATATATAGTTGCGTGTTAGGTTTAATAAAAACGACGGCCTATAAGGTAAGACCACAGATAACCTTTCGCACTTATCTGTGCTTATATAGGATACTTTATTTTTTATCTTATACTTAGGTTTTCGCGCCAGATTTTGACAGTATTAAGTGAAACATTCTACAAAACAAATTTTGTACAATATTTAAGTTCTAAAAATGAAATTCGCTATACCTGAAATATCGTGGCATAACAGAGATCCAGTGCTAAGTGTTGACTTTCAACCTAATTGTGATTCACAGGAGCCTTTGCGTTTAGCCACTGGTGGAACTGACACTCATGTTGTTGTAAGTATTCGATCTCATACAAAGTTGTTATATAAATTTTTAACAAGTATTTTTATATTAAAGTGTTTTACAGATATGGTACTTTGCAATAAGTGATAGGGGCGCAGTCAATTTGGAAGTAGCAGCTGATTTAACAAGGCATCAAAAGGCAGTAAATGTCGTTCGATGGTCTCCTAGTGGACAGTTGTTAGCATCAGGAGATGATGAATCTATCATTTTCATTTGGAAGCAAAAAACTGAAGATCTTCTTCCACCACCCGAGGGGGAAGAAGAATATAAAGAAACATGGGTTATTCATAAGGTCAGAAAACTTCAGTTGATATTTCAATCTTATTATATTATGTAGTATATCGATTACAGTTTTTCAAATTTAATGTAAAATACACACACAACAATTGATAATATTTTTTGGTTAATTTGTTAATGATAAATAGTTTATGTATTTTATAATGATTGATGACCTCAATTTTTAGACCCTCCGAGGCCACATGGAAGATGTACTTGATTTGAGTTGGAGTAATGATTCTTTGAACTTGGCATCGGGCTCTGTAGATAACAAATTAATCTTCTGGGATGTAAACAAAGGCAAATACACCCACATAGCTACAGAGCATAAGGGTTTTGTACAAGGAGTAGCTTGGGACCCTAAAGGACAACTAATAGCATCAGCTTGTACAGACAGGTATTTTCTTATTAAAAATAATAATAATAGAGTTCATAATACCTACTTCTTATTGGTCAAAAATGCTTGTTAAGCAGAATAAAATGTATGTTGTACATATTGGCAAATGTGAAAAATATATAATCATAACACTTTTTAAGATCCTTATTCTAATATAATTTTATAGGGAATTTCGAACTATGGACATATCGACAAAAAAGGTTCAGTCTCGTAGCAGCAAAGCCATATTGCCCTTTCCCGAAGAACATGCTCTATACAATGTGCGCGTCCGGTTATACCATGATGACACACTCCAAACATATTACAGACGACTTCAATTTAGTCCTGATGGTGTTTTTATAGCTGGTAAGTGTATTTCCCTTTTAACACTTTTACTGCTGACTTCCCAACATAATCTCTATATGCAGCTATTGTTCATGTACATGGGAAGTATGAAATGTATTTCTTCAACTTTTCCAAAATCTCTACTGAAATAACAAATTTCATTCAAAATATCTGTTTACAATGCCTAGAATGTAAAAGAAATGAAGAACATTTAAAAACACATCGCCTCCTATAAGGAGTAGTTTGTCAATTTGAATATTATAATTACAGTACCCGGTGGTCGAATAGAGGCAGAACAGGGCAAAGTGGATTTGAAGCCAATAAATGCTGTTTATATTTATACTCGCTACTCACTTAAAGCGTAAGTCAATATATTTTCCTAACTTAGTACTTTTTGAAAAAGCTAATAATTTGCAACTTACAGCTTGTGCAATATTTAAGTACATTGATAAGAAACATGATCAAATCCATTACTCTCCTACGCATTGCTGACTCTGTATTGTTGAACTGAATAATAATTGACAGTGACCGCCTCCATAACTAAATGGTTGTCTAATATATTGAATTGTAGTAGGCACATAGTTTGTAGTACTAAATAAAATTTAAATTTAAAATATAATTTATAATCACTGTAATGGCTTTATGACCAATCAAATTCCCTTTAAAATGATGTTTAGAGTTGTAATAATTATAATGTTGCTTGCATACGTAAGTTTTCTCAAAATTTTTAGTTTGAATTGAATTCTATATTAAATTGTTATTTGAAGATGAAATCTTCACAACGTTTTTCTGTATTATAGACCTGCATGCATACTGCCTTGTGCGGAAGCTGCATTAGTCGTACGCTGGTCTCCTAAGCGCTACTCCCTCCGGCCAGATGGGCCTCCCCCGGCGTTTCCTGCATGCCATCGGTTGGTCTTGGCGGTAGCTACGAAACGCTCTGTGCTCCTTTATGATACCCAGCAAAAAACACCTGTTGCCCTCATTTCCAATATTCATTACACCAGGTTAGTATATTCTTATCAACCACTTATGCCACAACATAAGTCTTCTTGGACCTACTTACTTACATTCAAAAGTTGTCTTATTTTAATTCTATTGCTGTAACTACCGACATTGGTCCTTTAGCAGTATTAACTTAGCTTTCACGGAAACTGAATTTAAGTCGATTAATGAAACAGTGATAATGTGGAAAGAAGTCATTAAAGGATTAAACTATATCCGAGAATTTGGTTTATTCACAGATTAACAGACTTGACCTGGTCCCATGATGGGTCAGCGCTGGTCGCGTCCAGCACGGATGGCTTCTGTTCTGTGATCACATTCTCGCCAAATGAGCTTGGGGAGGTATTGCCAGATGAATGTACTGAACAGACTGCGGCAGGTATGCTTCATTTGCAATTTTATTTTCAAGAATAAACCTCCCTGACAGCAAAATATGATAAATGCTATTTGGTTAGAATTTAGATCGTGCAAAAGAATGAAAGATTTAGTAAATAAAGAAATCCTACCTCCCTTTGCATCATTCCATCTTAACTTAATTCTGTAGGAATATATATTGATAGATCAAACATAAGAAATTATAAATTTTTGAGGCCAATTTTCGTCTACTCTGCAAAGCTAGCGTTCCTCGACTAGGCAAAGAATGATAGCATACTTAATGGAGGAATGCTTAACATCTTCTGAAGACACCATCCACTCGTGATGGCAAAACCTCGAGAACTATTTTAATTACGACGGCCAAACAGCTCGAAAACACGAGTAGCTAATTATTTGTTTGATCTTACAGAACCAATGGAAGTAGACGAGCCGATACCAGAGACGCAAAGCCCCGAAGAGAAGAAAAACAACTTTCATACGATTGATTCTTTCATAAAGTTCAAAACACCAACGGAGAAATCACCCAAGAAACAGACAATACATACAGTACAACAGAAAACTCCAGTGAAAGTGGACCTATTGGTTGAAACTGCTATGCCGTCCTGGTCTGATAATTCCAATGATGTTGTGAAGCAGGACAAGGTTGAGATCCTGGTCATAGAAGACAGTCAAGATATAAAACTGGTGTATGAGGAGTCGGAGAATACCGATCATGCAAAAGTAAATGACATAGAGTGTAGTGAAGTTAAGACTTCACCTAAAATGAATCTCAGTAAAACAGAAAAGTCACCCAAATCTACTAAATCTCCAAAAATCGATAAATTTGTAGTGAAACCTACAATTGACCAATGTATTAAAACACCTAAAAGTGAAAAGACAAAACCTAGTGGGTTGACTCCAACTAGTAGCAAGGTGGATTTCTTTAAACAGGCTAAAGTGACCGACGTTAATGGAGTAATCGTTAAGCCCGTACCCAGTCCCAAGGCGCCGCGGAGAGTCAGCTTCGTGACACTCTCCAGTCCTAAGAATAAAAAAACTTGTTAGAAATCCGTATTTGCCACTCATCTGGTTAAAAAAATATAACTACATGTGTAATTTTGACATATTTATAAATAAAGAATTATTTAATAATGAAAGTATTTAAGGCCATAACTTGACAAAGACAAAAACGCTTTAGTATCAAGGGAAGGGGGTGGTCCAGTTATTATTTTCGTTCGTAGTTTTAATATAGATGTAATTAAAAATAACTTAAGAACTGATAATATTAAATGGCCTTCCAAGAGAAAACGTAAGCTCTGCTAATAAAACTATTCCTGTGATAAAAGTAAATTTAATAAATATTTACATTAAAATGAGGTTTATCACAATGAATAAGAGTATGTGGGTTGTTTATGTAACAAAATATATTCTATCAATTAAACAATATTGTCTTCACTTACCTACACCTGTTTTTGGATTAGATAATCAATTCATAGGAAACATTTTTTAAATTTCAATATTTAGATAAAACTCGTAGATATTACTGTATATTGTGATATTCAGGTACGTTTTATATAACTAAGATTAGTCAGATATAAAACACTTTGAAATCACAGAATATATAACAAACCAGAAACTGTCAACCACTTAACGTAAGGCCGTCCCGACTACTTGAAATTGGTGTAATTCGGGTGGACACTTCGCTGTGTACAAATGTACGCGCACTTCTAGTTTGTTCATTCTGGAATTTTAATTGGAAAATATGGGGGTACTTCGCGGTACAATTCAAATAAGGTATTAACTTTTCTACTTCAACATATTATGTTCAATTGCTTAAAACGCAATGTGGTGTAGTAATTTTTGCTTTCTCTTTCGGATATCAGAAGTGGGATCAGTCTTGCGTGATGTTCTATCGATAAAGACGGGCAAAATCGCGAAGCAAACGAGTCGCCTCTTTGCACTTCTCCGCTCTGAAAAATAATCAGTTATGTATAAATAAAAAAAAGGAAATATTTTTGTTGTAAGTTCACTCAGAATAAGGAATCAAAAGATATTCTCTACTATATAAATGGTAAATGCATTTTAAATAGAGATTGCTACCAATATGCCACCGCGAATATAAGGATTTGGACATAAAGTTATTTTCCCTGCGTAGCTACATATGAGAAAAATCTAACTCACTTGACAGCATACTGATGAAACTGCCAGCACTGCTGTTCAGTGGCCGCGGCCCGATCCCGGGGCAGTTTGGGCAGAGCAGAGGCGAGCCAGTCCACGCCGTGACGCCTTTGCCACGCTAGCAGTTCCACCATAACCTCGGCTACCTATAGACAAGTAATAAATGATCCAAATTGAGATGAAGATATATCTCCGTTAGTCGTCTAAGTGTCTTAAATAGTTAGACTTTCCATTCTGGGAGACTGGCTTTATAATCATAAGCAATAATACCTCGCTAAGCATGTAGGCATGCAAATGGAGCACTGCAGCCTCCAAGAGCGCGTACGTCAAAGCCTCTCCGTACTCTGAAATTACAGTGTTCACTTGGGCTGCAAACAAGACAATTCAATAAGATTAATCACACAAAGAAATAATTACTAAAAAAAGGATATGTACCGACTTTTAAAATAGTTGATTCAAACAAAACACAATATAACAAAACTTATCTCAACTCTTAGAGCCAGAGTGGCCTAACTACAAAAAAAACCACGATTTTCAATATGGGGGAAAATAAAATTGCACAATTTTCTTTTATTTTTTTATGTTTTACTGTACACTAGAAATATCTTTTTTATATGTTATATCTTATTCATTACTCATTTAGAATATAAATACATATGTATTTCAGCTTAGTAGCAAAGCCTTGAACATACGTACCCGTGAGAGGTTCCCCGGGGTCGTTGTGTGTGAGTCTCAGAAGGTCATAGAGAAACTTCATGAGGGAGCAGTTGGCGTCTCGATGATCTAGCCGAACGGCGGTCACCGCGCATCTCACTACCGCCACTGCGCACCCCGACTGCACGAACTGTACCGGGATTCGTTGCACATATCTGCAAATTGCATACAAATTAATAAATCCGAAACGGCAAATAGGTCGCAGGCCAAATGTGGACGTCAAAAAGTACTTTTTTCTATTTGAATTTAAATAAATCAGCACAACAGCAATACAATGAATTATTCGGTTATATTAAACTTTCTTTAAAAAAATTATGTTAAGTTCAATACTTACGTCCAATACTACAAATCCTTTAACAGTTGTTATTTTAAAGTAAAATCTTTAACTTAAGAGATTTATAAAAATGTTTTGTGGATTTCCTAATTATGCCAAGACAAAATAGATCGACAGCGGATCTTATTGAGATTATCATATGTATGTGGTTGGGATATTTCACCTTCCATCAAGTGAATCCTAGGTTAGTCTGCCGTCCTCTATTAAATATTGTCTAGTGTTTGAAACATATTTTTTGACGCTTCACTAACATTTGGTACCAGCGTTAGGAGAAACATTTTAGGTTATTTTTAAAACAAAGGAGAGCCCTCACCTTATACATAACCTATACAAGTCATCTACCGTATCCGGGTTGTCTTTGAGTCCGTCCGGTTTGGCGAGGAGCTCCAATGCCGGCGGGAGCAGCGAGTGTAACAAGTGCGCGAGCGGAGGCGCCGTTCGAGGCGAGCCGAGCGCGTCGGCGAGCACCGCCGTCAAGTATAGGAGGCACGAGTGCTGCTGCTGCGAGTACAGCGCGGGCAATGCCGAGGCCAGATCTGGCAGCAACTCTGCGCCGTCCGTCCCAGTGCCGCGGACGCAGAATCGTATGCATCTGCACGCTCGCTCCATTACCCGACCTTCGCGAACGTATCTAAAAGGAAATCGTTTTTATTTATGGATGGTTTGGGGCTACTATTATATTCAATCAACATTTTTTACGTTACATTGTCTATATTGCATATCTAGAACGAAAGAAAAACATTTTTTTTTTCTCACAATGTTTTGAGTGAACAATAATTGAAAGAAAATATTTTTATTACATACATCCTCAAAGTCACTATTCCCAGTACTAAGTTCTCGGTAACTCACTTAGCCATAACTCTGTGCACCACGGGCCACGCGTCCCGAAAGGCCGGCATGCAGGGGTGCGGTGAAGTCGCTCGTTGCACGTCAACGTCGCGGAACAGCGCCGCCACTCTGTCCAGCCACAGCACCGGGTCACTCTGGGAGCCCTTGCGGAGCTCGACGTTGCTGTCCACGAGGGCCGACAGCCCCGAGAGTTGGACGCCCACGGATTCGCGCATCGTGGAACATAACTAGAAGCAATATAAAAACTGCAACTACCAGTATTTTCACTACGTTAACAACATTAAAGCATTAAAGATTATACGCCAAATTCTAATAATAAAAAAAATTAATTAATCTGTATAGATAGTATATTGTTGTACTTAACATAATATTAAGATTGTTTTTTTAGCCATGCTTAGTACCTGATCGTGGGGCAGACGTGAAATGGCCGCGGCTAATGCCCGCATAAGGGTGGCTGCGGTGTGGATGGGCAAGGCCAGCGGGTCCGCCGCGCGCGCAGCTTCCACTATTAAGGAGGCGTGACACGAAGCTTGGTCGCGGCACGCCTTACAAATATTCTGGAACATTAGGACATTCGAAAAGTATTGAGACATAATAGGGAAAAACCAACATTTGAGACAATATAGGAAAAATAACATATATAAGTATAGGCTATATCTATGGAATATTTAATGAGTACATTACTGCAGCGGCCGGCAAAAGTGGCGTTCATGGACGAATATGTCAAGTTAGTCATACGTAAGTCTACCATTGCCTAGTTGCAGCCATAGCTTGTGTAGTGCTTTTAAAAAAAATTTACGACAATTAAAAACTAAGATGAACAATTCAGAACTTACTAATAATAGTTTTTTACGCGCCATATAATTTTTTCTCTAAACAGCATTTTATGTGCCAGCCAGTTCAAAAATTTTAATTTACCCTTGATACGTTCTGTCTTTGGTTACCATGTTTTTTTATATTTGTAGTGTAATTTTAAAATGGAACAATTGCCTTCTCCGCAACATTGCGACAAAAGAGTTAAACTCTTTTTCGCTATGTTGTAGTTCTATAGATACCTAAGTCGCAACTAGGCATTGATGGAATTCAAACGTTCGTCCATCGATGCCTCTCTTGCAGGTTTCAGTAAAATACTATTAATAGTAGTGAAAGTGCATAATTTGTACAGAAATCTTAAAGAAATATCTCACATAGCTTTTAGACAATAACATAAGTACTATACGGTAAGCATAGCAAAGACAGGGTATCTTTGCCTGCCTCATGGATTATTATATTCTTACAGACATTGAGTAAATATTTGTCATGATCATTACTGACCTGCAGGGCTGTAGCAGCAGCATTTGCCAGCTTCGGATGAACCAATGATCTAACGAGAAAACGTAGACAGGGTTCCAAGCATTGAGGATGCTTCTCTATCCATTCACACAACTCTCCAAGCAATTGTATGCAGGTGCTGGTCACAGCTAAATGGCTGTCTTCGGGTATAGACAAGATTGCTTCAACTACTTGCGGTACATAGTCATATTCCTCCCTGGTTGAAAGAAAACATCTGTAGTAATATTATAAGGTGACAACTGGATGAACATGCTATGCACAAAACAATATTTCTATTTGTATATTCCTTACACTATACTTATACTAAATCAAGCTTTTATTCTAAACGTCAAATACTGATTATAATATTTAATTTCATATTGATTAGAAATCAAAAAGTAAATAAAAAATATATCAACTATTTGTATAACAGTCAGAAACAAACTTACGGTAAAATATTCTTTGCAACGGCCTGCATAATAAACAGTGCCGCTTCAGTTTGCTCCCAGGGCAAGTCTGCCTGCAGAGCAGAAAACATTTGCCGGAACACAGACCCAGAACCTACTATGAATACCACATCCTTAATCAGCTCCATTACCTTCAACCGGAAATTCTGGAATTGTTTTTATGTCAGTTTATTAAAGAACAGTTAAGTATAAAGTAACGAATGTATATATATTGAATAAAAAAGTTAAGGTCGTTTTTGAAAAAGTTTTCTGAGGAGGACCTCATATGGATTTTTAGTTATTTGGTATAACGGAAACATAATAAATTGTTTCTGTTTGGAAGAGGATAAAATGATAATCATTTATTTTTCAGTCATTAAATAGGCCTAAAAGTTGAAATATTGCAATTATGTAGTCACTAGGTAGAGGATATGCTAACACAACTCGTTAGAGGTACTAACATAGAAATCATCACCCTCCTCAGGCAAGTTTTTCTCATCTGGTTCACACTGACAATGTCGTGCTAGTGCTTGTATGAGCCGTTCAATGTGGGGTTTAAACGCATCTGTCAATGGCTGGTAGTCTCTCTGATATACTTCTTCTGACAGTCTGTACCACAAGTTGAATGTTATTTCTGCTATCTGCAAATTTCAATGAACAAAAAATAAAATGGAAAAAAAAAGAATAGAACTGATATATAAATACAAAAAAAACCGGCTTAAAACATTTACTCGGGGACCCTACGAAAAACGCATCTTAAGTGGGATGGAAACAATAAAACGCTAAAACAAAAACTTAAATATACCAATATGTAAGTATTCACTTGTACATGACATTAAAGACGTAGTACAACTTTAATTACGTCACGCGAGAGGTGCATGTATCAAAAGGTTGTCGACGAAAAGCTCGTTTCGAAAAGTTCGCCGATGTGGTGTAGGACTCGGTAGCTAAATTGGTAGAGCAACAGCACGGAACACTGGCGATGCCGGTTCAAGTCCTGCACGAGTCGATATTTACAATTTATATTCGATTTTTAATTTATAATTACGTACGTTATTTTAGATAATCACTTATTTGGTTTCACAGAAAGATTTTGATGCAGTTTTAAAGTCCATGCGTGATGAAGGCATTCAACAATTTTTTTTAATTTGTGGAACTTTTACTTATCTCTTTTACACTTTTATTTAATTTCTTGTCTATTCTTTTCGGTTTGTGATATTAAATGGAAAAATGATCAGTATGTCAATTTTTTCTCACCTCGGTTAAGTAGTTTTAGGTAGGATGACTAAACGATATTTAGCATTAAGATATGCCTCAAGTTGCAGGGACTAGGGTAAAGTGGCATATTTTGTGATAAATTGTATTAAGTGTGATCATCTTAAACAGGTACTACTGTATTTATGCCTCTTAGTACGCTGCTAATATTAAATATAAAATACTTTTCTAATGAGGGCAATCTGACTTACCTCATAATCATGATGTCCAACACAAACTAATGCAAGTTCCAATGATCTCAACGCAAAATGGTTCTGTCCATTTGCTGTACTAATCATAATTTTTTCTAAAAATGTCTCGCCCAATTCAGTGAAAAGTCTAGCAAAGTTAGCAGCATGTTCCTCCTCTTCATGTGCCACCGACAGATGATAGCTTTCTTCTAAAGCCAAAACACTATCAAATAACATTCGTTCCAAATCCTCATTATTGTTGTTCTGTTCCAAACAACCTAATACAGCACAAATGCAGTCTGTAGCCTCATCATGCAGCGTGTGATTTCCATCCTTCAATACTTGCAAACACATCCCTATGACTAGATTCTGTGATAGTTCTTGCAGATTTATGGCCTTCACTTGCAACCAAGATGTCATACATCTAATAACCTTCAAAACTGTAGACCAATTTTGAGGAGTATTTACACAGTCTTTAAGAAATGTTACAACTATATGGGAATTACTCCGTAAATCGGTTTTGATTTCTTCTCGCCTGTTGTCACCTAGTTTTAAACTAGATGAGTCTATTTCTTGAGGTAGCACAGTCAATATTTCTAGTAGAGCAAAGTTATTTTTATTTGAGAATAATTTAATGAGGTCACTAACACAGTTTTTCCAAGAGGGCAATTGTAAAGCCAGATCTGCCAGAGCCAAAGAGAGTTGAGTCAGTATTGCTGTATTGACATCAGGCACAACAGATTCCAAATGAGATATGAGAGAGTCACGCAAAGACATGACAGCATCATCTGGGAGTTCTGACAAATTGTGCTGCACTTTTGATCTCATAGTTTGTGCAGCAAAGTAACATGATGAAAAACTCTTCTTCTGTTGTAAAAGTTCATCTGCAATTTTCCATGAATGAATCTAGAATAGATTAATTTGAATAATTGTTAATGCAAATCTTTATATATGATAAATTTCACATTAAAAAATATAAGTATGATATTAGGAACTTACTGATTTTTGAATATCCCCTAGCCATTTCGAAGCCTTTTCTTTTTCAGAAGCATTAGGGCTATCGTACAACGCGCTGATGGCTTGGTAAACTGCATCCAATGACGGGGCCTCCATATTGTGAATTATATGTACAACATTTAAGAGAAACTTCTTTAATTTCTCTATAAATTATATAAATACCTTAATAACATATTTCCACTCACGAAGTTTGGAAATACTCAATTCGGAATAGAAAATTATTAACAACACAAATAGGCAAAACCTCGTTGACAAAGTCAAATTAATATAATGACAGCTGTCAACCAACAGGCACAACTGGATTTTGTCTATGATATAATTATAATTATGACAATTGACAATAAAGATAAAATCTATATTTTTGTTTATCGGTTTTGTTTGATAAAATTAAATTCTTTTCATTTATAAAACAAAATCTATAAAATTATATGTTTTTTTTTATTATATTTTTGCTTTAATCGCAATGCGCTGTGTTGGTTGCGTTTGTTTTAGCAATTTTGTGAAAGAATGGGCTATTTGACAATGCGAAAAATATAGCGTATAAGGTTAAGCTTAGAAATAGTAAAACCGTAACGTATGTTTAAAAAAATAACTTATTAAAATAAAAAACCACAAAAAAATAACTTTTTAAACAAATGTCACGTGACACGCGTCGTTCTAAACGCTCGTGACGATCGGGTTTATCTTTATAACAACGTCACTTGCTTGTAAGCAGTGGTATAGTCCTTCCTAGTGTTAAAAATGTTGTATTCCCAGCAATGATAAAAAAAATAATTTGTAACTAATTTTATTACTTCAACCACTGTTCCTTAACATATACATACAGTAAATTTAAAAAATCAGTCAAATAGTCCATTTATATGCTTCATAGATAAACATTGTATAAGTAGGTATATTGTTAACAACTACAATAATACGACAAATACCTTGGAAATTTGGATTAATTAAACTTAGAAGACACATTTTAAAAATTGAATAATGACGAAACTATGACAAAGGAGGTGGATAATGAAAGGTTAATAATTATAAAAAAATCAACCGAAGAAATTGTTTACTAATTTTTCTACATTTAGAAGACCGACAGGCCCTTAAAAGTTGTACATATTATTTTATATTTTATAGATTAGTTTTATCTTGCTTTGCTGTTAATTGTAAAAATGACACTGAAAATTCAAAATCGTATGCCAACTGTCTGTTGTCTAATCTGACAGCCGACACTTGATATATAGCAATTATAGGCATAAAGACTAAAGTCGAATAACTTTGAATATAAAAAAGAATATCTTCATTATTGCCCATTACAAATGTTTCCCACGACTACGTCGTTCGTTAAAAGGGTATCTACGCTCGTGAAACAAGTGTCTCGACGAACATTCCAAACTACACCCTTAGCGATGGCTCCGATTAAGGTATGCTTTGTTTAATTAAGTCTTTACTTACATAACAGCCGGCTAAGTTCTTTTTGCAATTCTAGGTTGGTGATAAATTACCGGCGGTCGATTTGTTCGAAGACTCGCCCGCAAACAAGGTTAATATCTGTGAGTTGACGTCAGGCAAAAAAGTTGTTTTATTTGCTGTGCCTGGAGCGTTTACTCCGGGTTGTTCCAAGACTCACTTGCCGGGGTATGTCGAAAATGCTGACAAGATGAAATCTGAAGGAGTATCAGAAATTGTGTGTGTCTCTGTAAATGATCCTTATGTAATGGGTGCTTGGGGTACCCAACATAACACTAAGGGAAAGGTAAGAAAAGAAAAAAACATGTACTTTACAAATAGTTAAACATTTGTCATGATTTAGAAATATATGTAGTTTCTCATTTAATGGCTTAAAAGCCTTATATAGATGTGTATTATATAGCTTAACAAGTATACTTTTCATAGTGTTTGGTATTGCATTTTCAAAGTTTACTGAAGTGTTGTTTCTAGATTTAATCTCATTTATTATTTATTTTAAGTTTATCAATTATTTAAATTTAGAGTTGTTTTACTCAGTATTAGGTACAGGAGATTTAAATTATTCAAATAATAGTAACTTTTTACTGGTAATTATTAAAAAAAACAACTTAAATGTTGCCCAATGCTTAACTAAACCCATGTTTTAAAGCTTAATGAGATACATTTTTAATAATGATCTTACTCAATACTCTGCTACCCTCACTTTGTTTTTCTTTTCTTAATTTTGTTAAATGTACAAAAAACTATTTATTGCTTTATTATAATTTGTAAAGATAATTACATTACGTTACATACACACCTTATTACCATTCATTCTTAGCAACAGTAACAGTTGACCCTGACCTTGTATGTTATTTATTATACAGTCAGTGATATCGCTGGAATAATATTCATTTTACCTACAGACTGTGAAAACAATGTTAATAAATTCTTTATTGTTTATTAAATATGTTAATTTTACAGTATTTACACAATTTTAATATTTGAAAAAAAAAGGCTTTTAAGGTAGATCATAAGTTTACTATGCATGATCAATCACTTTTGATCTTAGAATCATAGTGACAACAGGATGGCATGTTAATTTTTTTTTTGTTTTACAGGTTCGTATGCTTGCTGACCCATCTGGTAACTTCATAAAAGCCCTGGATCTTGGAACCACTCTGCCACCACTTGGTGGATTCCGTTCAAAGCGGTTTTCTATGGTCATCACTGATAGTACTGTTGAAGAATTGAATGTGGAACCTGATGGTACTGGGCTCTCTTGCTCACTGGCTGACAAGTTAAAGTTGAAGAAGTAGCTTAAGAAATGTCTATGTATAAGATCCTATCTCACTAAATTGATATCTCCCAACTTTATTAGCCTTTAAAGCACCCCTTGTGATATGTTTATTATAGAATATAATATGTATACATAGTGTTGTCACTTCAAGCTGTTGTTTTATTTGCTTCTATCCTTTATTTTAAATTCTTCAAGTAATCTATCGTTATCGTATCGTTTTTTTAGTAGGTATCGGCAATTTTGTTAGATTTTTTAGGAGCGCAATCAAACCTAAAATGTATTTGTTTTTGTTAAGATGTTTTATTCGCCATTCTGCCTATCTAGTTATCTACTCGTACAAAACCACAGAAACGCAATAAACATGACAGATTTGATCATTTGACGTTCCATGTCAAAATGCAAAGTATCCTTATGCCTTATCTACGATTCAAAACGTGAACATGAATCGGTGAGTGACTGCGCGTGTGTTTATTTTCATTTATTATTATGAATTAATATTAGAAACTAGTTAAGCTGAAATGCTAAAGCAATACTTAAGTACGTTATTATTTATGTTCATTGTAATATACGCGATAGTCATTGGCAAAAGAGACGTTCTGAGCGATCTCATTGAAGAAAGTGTTCAAGTTGACGATTGGTTGGACCAAAATGATCTAGGAGATTACAAGAAATTATTCAGAGATTATGGTAAGCTGTGTGAATGTATGTGAATGAATTTAGTTACGTGTGTGAATTTAGTTTTATACTGCTATTTAATGCAGAGACTTCTTTAAAAGACAAGTCAATTTAAACCTTTAGGTTTAAATTGACTATGAAAGCTACTCAATATCCATGATTTCCACCATTCCATATGTAAATACTATTGGGAATGGTTATAAACTGTTAATTTATAGCTAAGTATCCAAATATACATATGTATATGCTTTTATAATTTTTTGTGAATTACAATTACCTAGGCTTGATAACTTAATTAATTGCCCTGCATTGTTCAAGTCAATGAAAACATAGTACGTTTTCATTCAAATGAAAAACTATTCAAGTCAAATAAAAAACTATTCAAGGCATATTGCACTTTTTAATACATGTGTATTCTGTGGGCCACCTATATAGTATACTTCATATTCAATATAATACAACATTGAAAGAATTTTGTATACTTGCAGATATACAAGTATATTGCTTTTTTCCCACAATATGCGGGCGATGCACATTACTTGTTTCGGGAGTGCGAGGCAGTCTTAACACAGTTCTGAATCTTATAGCTAGTTAGACTGTTCATATATAAGGCACTGTATGGACATCTCCGTGGGCGGACCGATATTTGACTTTTATTATACACCTCTAATATAAACTTTAATACATACTAACTTAGTTTTCAGAACATTATACCTAACATACTAATGACTGAGATTTGTTAGTAATGTAAAATAAGAAATAAAGTTTCCCTGGGTTTTGAACTCAGGACCCCTCATGTTTAGCGCCATACTAGTCAATACATTTAACCATTTGGCTACAGAGGCAGTCTAATAAGAAAAGAAAGTACTTTTATGAAATCCTCTCTCGTGTTGGTAAAATGTTTAGACTTTATTTGCATGCAGTCTTAAAATACTTAACTTAAACAACGTTGTATAGAGTTGAGAGAAGGAAGTTGATAGAGATTACTTTTCTAATAGTTCTGGCCTGTTGTTTATTACAAAACTTAGTTCAGTAGATTATACAGCAGTTGGCTAATGTACTTCAGAACTAAATATTGACAATTTACTATGAATATTGACAATTTATTTATTTTATTTATTTATTTACACTTTATTGCACAAAAAAATTAACAAAAATATAATTTAGTGGAGCACTTGGCTTTTATTTTATCGTGCGATTTTTTTTGTTGTATATTTATGTATGCAGATTTCGACATCTTAAAGACGTACTTTGCGCTCTCACCAAACAAAGGTGCCATTTTCACTTTCGACCAACAAAAGGAAACGTTACAGCAAGAGTTACAATCTAAGAGTTGTGTATATGAAAAACGTTTGCGCATTATTGTGGGATGAGGCTTTGGCGCGTGACGTCACCTGCCACCCTCAACCGCAAGCCCCCAAACAAAATAGAAGGAGGTAGAGGGTAGTCGAAGTCTCCCGCCCGGCCGCTACACTCCAGTCGCGCTTCGAACGCTGCGGCGCGCGCACGTCCATATTTACGTTCCCTTTCATTACATCATAAAATATGACCGTTCTTCTTTGTTTTGTATATGTAAAATCCCCTTTTATCACTGAAAAAAATCTTTAAAACGTTGTGGGGATCACGATAAAGCAGGTTTATTTTATTTTTTTGTTTGAGCCTAATAATTAAAATGTGGCAATTTGAGGATTCGGAGATATGTTCAATAGGAATGATCCATCCTTCGCACAGCCGTCATTCAGGACTCTCGTTGTTGTCTAGTGTCTCACAGTTTTCAGGTAAATCATTACGTATATTACCACTTTTATTCGTTTACAATAACAGAATAAATAATTTAGAAAATATATTTTTTATCATATTTCTATTGGTATTCGTAGCTTAATCGTATTTCGATAGAGGCAACACAAGCATGAGGTTCACTCGATGGAAGGAGCCATTCAACATCTAAACCAAATGTGATGTCGAGCTATTCTGGCTTAGGATACCTGATTATGAGCCTAACATTGCTACCGACCAGACCGACGATAAATGCAAATCAATTTGTACCTTTTTGACTAAAAACTTTTCAATAACCGTGACGTCGCGAACCTTACAAAGAACGATTTAAATATTTTGCTGTCTTGTGTTTGAAAAAATTTATAAAAAAAAGTACGAGAACACTTGGCGGGCTTTTTGCTAAAAAGCGATATTTTCCAGGTAGGGAAATAAAATTGTGATTTATGTTATCGTCTGAGTATCTGAAATAAGTTTCAAGATACAAAGTGTTTAAAGGATATTTCCACTTGACCAGAAGGTAGAATTAAAATGAAACCTCAGAAGTAGCCGTTGGGGTCTCGTGAAAAACTCAAAGAAGTAGTTTTGAAGTGCGATTAAGTGGGGTCAAGTAGGTCTCTATTTCTCTGAAAGCTCTCTCTCTGACGCGGTTCGCAGAGTCGAGATTTTCACTTTTCACTACTTTTGAGCGTTTTCAAACTCGTCGGTTCAAGGTACTGTTGTTGCGAAGCAAATAAACTTTTTTACTTAATTGTAGCCTGGAACGATATTTGGCGATATAAGAATCTATTAAGCGCCTCTAAAATCACTTTTGCTTAAAACTTTGTTTAAGTGCGTTTAGGGTGAATAGAGTTATAAGTTTTAACAAAAGAAGTAATCATCAAAATATGACTAGCCAAAATGTTGGCATAAAATTAATGGAAATTGCACAATTATTTTGTTGTTTGGGGTTTTCAATGTCTAAGTATATATAAACGTGACATCTTATCCCTTGGGTACATGTTTTAAATCCAAGTGTGGCAGATTCGACCGACCGTCTAAGCATTACTCGTAGAACTTATAGGTAATTTGTACTAATAAATGTTATATATTATATTTGGAATTAAACATAATTTCGAAGGTAAATTATTAGGGTATCGATCGCTATACAGTTAAAAGTAATTTAGTAAAGTGTCCGAAGGAAATGTAACGTAGTTGACGTTTCGCCGGGAAAAGTACAAGTAAGTACATCAATTGCAGCGGGACATAACAGGGACCGCAGCTGGCGATGTGCCAACGCGCTATGCAGTTGGACAATCAGACTTTCTTCGAGACTTTATTGTCGCCTTTTTCTGGGCTCAACTTTTCAACGCAGCCCGGCGATACGACGTATTGCGTTCAGCGTTCGCATTGTTCCACGATGGCCTCTAAGCGGTTTTTTGTGTCAGCTAAATTATGGGTTCTTTCCGTCGTTGAAATTGTGTTTCTTTGGGTTTTGTCGCGGCCTTGATTAAAATTGATAACGGCCCTGATTAACGATCACAAAAGAGCTTTACAACAAATGAGAACGAAGTACTGAATATAAATGAATAAAATCGAAGCTACGTCATAAAGCAAAGCGATGCAGGTGGCTTCGCCCCGGGAGACGGCGGGGAATGCAGGACGCAGGCTCCCTGTGCCGTGTCCCAATTCGAGCAACAAGTCACATCGATTGATTCCGGTTCGTAGAACTTTGGTGCAACGACATTCTTGTTATGCAAACTCAGGCACACTCACATCTATATATCGCGGTTACACTAGTTCAGAAGGGCCCAATGTACTTAAATACGATAATACTAATTTAAAAGCAATTTCGCCAATTTATCATGTTGGTAGAGGTGAGAATTTGGTTCCTCAATTTCACGTAAATAAATATATTTTCCGGGACGAATTATTACTTAAAATTTAATTAATCTTGTAAGATTAAGGCTAGATATGTTTTATTACTTTATTAATCTAAAAAAGATGCACGTCAAGCAAAATGTTGTGGAATAGTTTTCAAGACTTCGTTTAGTGAAGTATCTCTTTTCAGTCTTGTAAACGTTATTATCTTTCATCTCATGTCAAATATGTATGTATATTGACTTTTTTTATATTTTAGTAAGGTATTAAATAGTACATTACTGCAGCGGCAAGAGAGGCATCGATGGGCATGGGCATACGGAAGTGCGTAGTACTTTTCTCAAATAATGCGCGGAAATTACACGTCAGAACAAATTCTGTACAATTCAGAACTTCAAAACCAATGACGAAATTGACGAAACAAACAGCAATAGTATTATTACGCGTACTTTGTTTTCACTTAACAGATTTCTATGTTCCAGTCACTTCGAAGTTTTAATTAAACCTGAGATAAATTACCCCTTCGATCGCCATGTTGCAGAGTAGCAGATCGTTCCATTTTTAAATTACACCACAAATATATTGTATTTTATTTGGCCGCTAATAACTTTAGACATGGATTGTCATACGACCATTGCCGGCAGCAACTCGCCCAGTACAGCAAGTTCGATTTATCTCGAAGAAGATTGTCAAAATAATACTTAAATTTCCATGCAAAAGAAACGTGTCTAGGAAACAGTTGCGGAGTGAGGAGAAATAGGTCATCTCATCGAGTGCGGTAAATTTTTAATTAGCACAACCTTAACAACGAAACTTATCAGTGAAGCATTAAAACAAGCCGGTTTAACAAAAACGAAATGTGGGCCGAGCCCGCATTTAAATTGGGTCAAATGTAAATAGCCTAGGGTCTATCGATTACCTTCACATATTAACATACCTGGCTGAGTAATAAATGTTTTTGCAAGAACACTGGTTGGTGTCGTAATATGGGCTTCCATTCAACCCACTTGTATTTCTATAGCAGGTGGTAGGAATATACGGAAATTCCGTCCGGTTTACGAACCACCAGCTGATGAAAAGGCGTCATCAAATCATCATAGGTTGGCATCACATTCTGTTTATTTGTATTTTTTGTTTAATCTTTAAACGTCAAAAGGCATTTCACCTTTCATCAAAGAACCCTACACACGTCTGTCCCCAGTCATAAAAGAATATGCTGTAGGCCGCATCAAATTCAACATTCAATTGTATTTATAATTCAACTTAGCACATTAAATGTAATTTTTAATTGAATTAAAAAGCAAAGAAAATGATCTAAAGATAACAGAGATACATTTAGATATAGTTTTAACTGAAGGTAGTTTATCACGTAGCGAACGTGCCTGAAAGCTCGTTTGATCTATGGCTTCGCTTCTGTTTTGTGAGAAATAGCGGTCGTTATGGGAGAGTTACGCGTTGGGAAATTTTGACTTCATATTTATGACGAGTCGTTTACTGAGATTGCTATCTTTGGTCTTCCGTGACCGCCATTGGTGCAAAGCATTTGAAAATTCTGGTTATACTTGTTATAGGTATAAGTTGATATTTCGCGACATGAACCGTTTCAAATGTACTACTCGCGCAAACTACAGACATTGCTTATTATTTTCTTTTTTAACGTGTTGTGTACAATACATAATATAGTTTGTAAACATACGTGACAACATGCCATTAATTTGTTCATATAACCCTTTAAACATTTCCTAAAGACTGAAAGACGTTTGTCAAAGTTCTTTTTATTTTATTATTGTCTTTGTAGCGGTTTCGATAGCCCTTTTTTTAATACAGCATCGACGAGAATATAATATACCTGTACTTTGTATTTTTACCAATTGCATGTATTACAGGCAGCGATATAAAGGTGAATATTTAATATTCGGATTTACGGATTACGGATTCGGTACGCCGGGGTCACGCTAACTTATTCAAAAAACAATCGTTTGTACCATATGCACTGTACGAGTCGTTATATACATATTTATATAAATGTGTAGTAGTAATTGTGGCGATACAAGTGATCACTAACATGGGCTGGTTGAATTCCCCCATTACCCCGTGATAACAAACCAAGTTGAGTTTTATTTCTGAGACCAGGTCGTCTGCAATTACCAACGGGACGTGTATCGTCACGAACCACCGTCCATATAAAAAACCCGTGAAGTGTTATCGCGTTTGGTTTCAGTCTGTGGACTTCCGAATGTTCAAAGCCATAATCGGTCAACTTATATAAAGCGCATCTTATTAGAGTTTAAACACTTGGCGCAATTTACCACAAATGAACTGCAAGCTTGTGTGCCCTCTATAGAAAAAATAAGGAAAATCAAAGCAATATTCTTCGGTAACTTAAGCATGACAGTTAATGGACCTGCAAAGGTGGACCTTGAGCTCCGTTGCCAAGTTACCGCCTACAAACAAATTCGCTATACGATTAATTCACACTTTCCCCATTATTTCGCTGTAATTTGACTTAATACTTTTAAATATAATTTATAACTATGAATTCGGTGGTACACGAATATTAGGTACGAATCACAGCTGAATAATGGTAAAACAAATATTTAGTTTTTACTCTGTATCGCGAGAATGCAGAATTTTAAATTAAATGTGTCCGCGCTATAAATTTTAATCGTTTTGCCTTGTTGATAAAGCAAAAACTGACTAATGGCTAAAACCAATTATTATTTATGCTTATGCATTGAAGTATAATATTTGGGTACCGTCCAAATTTTATTTTTTCCGACTTGTGTCTTGTTAATAGAGAGCGTACGCTTGATGTCGAAACGAATATTTCAATATAAATAAAACACTTTAATCGACGTTTCGTTGCCTCCCCGTGACCACGGCTGCTGCCGTGCAAAGCATTCGAAACTTCGGGCCGAAGTTAAAAATCATGTTCATATAAGTTTAACTAATATATCGCGTTTTAAACCGTTTAAGTGTTTTATTTAAACTATAGACAGGATGTTTCAATTTCTAATCCCCTTTGGTGTTGGCACATAATGATCTCTTGAAAAATGAATGCCTTTCTACAACACTCGCCAACTTCGCTCGGATGAAAAATTATTGCTTCTCATTTCACAATATTTACCGATCTCTCGCGCCTTCCAAGTTTGTACCCGTTTCTATTATATATAAACGAAATCTAATTTATAAATTTTGTTTGCGCAATGCTAAAGTTTTATTTAATCAGGCGAAGCCACAGCTATAAATCCAAATGCATAGCAATTTATAATTAACCTCAATACATCCGCCACATTTTATTTTTTGTTTGCTTATTTGAATGTCCGATAGCTATTTAGATTGAAGGTAGGTATTACATTGCGTGGATACATTTAGTGGAAGGAATTATTTCAGTTTTCAAGGTGATGAACACCCTGGTAGGGTGTGATAAGAGCAAATAGGCAATCTGCCCGCTCCAGCCAGCGTATAATATATATTGCGTGTATCGTTTCAGGTATATCTACACTTTCGGGTTGCGCCTCTCCTGAACATCTGGACAGACTTCCGGAGCTGCCCGCTGCAGAAGAAAAACGCCTCCGCCGTGCTGCACAAGTGCTGCAGCAAAAGTTGGTGCTGCGACAATGGCTGGCGACGCGCTCATTGCAACATGTTTATACAAAGTGAGTATAGAAAATTAGGAAGAGTGACCCTCAATCCTACGCACTTTTAAACAGATTTAAAAGTTCATTGGACAGACAGCAGACTGGCTACTTACTTTTCTTAAACCTAACGTTTTGATAATGAATCTAAAGAGAGTTTATTAAAACGTGGAATTACTAAGGCACCTTTCTCCTATTATTCGTTGAAAAGCATTTTGATATTATAACTCGGTAACATAGCGCTGTTAGACCTAAATTGGACCAGCGGATAGGTCGTCGCGAATACTCTGTGAATTCTGTTTTTATATGCAAATAGAAAAAGTAATATTAAATTATCAACTGTTTATACGTACAGGCAATAGACGTTAAATTTGCGCAATTTTGACCTGTCTAAGCGTGTCATTCTACACAGTTAGTGCCCCTAGGGGAATTAATAAGCCGCTAGTTCCTTATTGCTTTAAACTTGGTCCCCCATCAAAATGAAACTTGCAAGATTATGCAAAAGTGTCGCAGTGCGGGCTCCCAACTTGTTATCGGTCTGTAGTTGAATTGATGCTCCAGAACTTACTTTGCGAAAGGTTGGAAATTGTCGGATGTGCCTGCGATCTGCATTCGTGGCCCAGATTCTCGTGGAAATCCGTTTTCACCGGTTGAAAGTTTTCGAATTCATTGTGAACTTGGAAAGTGAGGAATTGTTCCCTTGGGAAGAGTGGATTGTGTCCCAGACCTGTAAAATCGGATTTTGTAATTTCAAGGGATTCGTATTTAATCTACGGCGGTACCTTAAATATTTCTATGGAAAATTAGAAGCATGATTAAATTTCGGCTTTGGAGTAAAAGGAGGACATATTTAAATAATATTATGATTATTTAAATATGTCCTCCTTTTACTCCTTATACATTGGCCACTTAGGCGGGCTCTTAATGCTAATATTAAAATTACAATAAACTCAAATTATTAGATATCTTGAAAGATCGCGAAAATAAACTACCAGTTGATAATACTTACATGTTAAAGGTTTTTAATAGTTTTTCGATGTATTAATAAATAGAATTGCACAAAAGTGATTCGACTGTGAAATGCACTCTTTAGCATTCATTGAACACTTTATGTGGGTCTCAAAGTGATTTTAATGTCACTTTTGTTTTTAATTAATATCAAAAGGAATATTTTTATATGAAAGTTACAGACTCTTGATATTGTTCTTTGTAAAACTTTTTGTCATAAAAAAAGAGAATTAGGAAATTGAGATCAAAAGGGAAATCCGTGTACAAAGTTGCCGGGGGGGCTTTAAAAGCTAATGAAAATATTGTTGTGTATAAAACAACTTTGTTCGCGAGCGTCGGAATACGGTAATTATGTATGCACCCACATAATTTCAACCTACACTCATGAGAATAACTTTCCTTTGTCATATTTCTTTCCTTAAGGATAATAATTGGGTAGGAACTTTATATTTCTACTTTCCTATTCAGATATAGCAATGGGCACTTCGTGGGTTTTCTTCTCGGTCATGTTGCTCTTTGGAACACTGTAAAATCGCGACAGACAGACTGACAAACATTTTTCATTTTTTCCTTTTTTTCGACGAATCTCTATATAAATGTACAAGTCAGCTCGAGTCAGTTACACTCCATTCCATCACAATTCATCGGCGTGTCCCTTGGCGACGTTGAATTAAATAAGAGTTTGTGTTAACGCTTGTTGCTTAACACGTTTCGCGTCAGCGTTTATGTTATGTATACGTATTGTGTTTATTTTGTGGCTGGCAGTAATCTTTTTAACTTTTTATTTGACCTTTGATCCCCGGGTCCATTTCACTTCCGAACGTCTAGACGAACAGCTGGACTCCACCCACTCTTCGCCGAATTATCCCGTACATCTCCTTTTAGCAAAACTCAACTTCAACTAAATCGATGCTGATGCGGTCTCGAAATAAGGTTGCACGTATTTTAAGTTATATTTTGTTGTTTCATACAATAGAAGCAAAGTTCTATAGACACATGTCAGTTGAGCCGTAGAACGCGACGGCAGTTTCAAAACTGTTCACTAACAAAGCAGCATGTGCTTGCACAAAGCGCTTGGAAAAGTTATATTTCAGTTTGTAACTATCGAGTTATCACGTACGTTAAGTAATCTGGGATTAAAAACGTAGTAAGAGGTTAATCTATATTCATTGTACGCGAGGGAGCTGTTGTTTACAAAATCCCTTTGTGGCGAACCAACTCTCTTTCTGAGTGGTTGCCAGATTTGATGTGTAGGTAGAAATACTTTATCACCGACAAGAGTTTAAACTCCAGATAGCTTGACGGAATTTTGGGTTAAAGCCAATACCGATAATATATAGAGCGTTCTTACGTCTTCTTTCTTCTAAGTTATATTTCTCGTCGACCTTTACTTTGTAAGTTAACGTGTCGGTTGCGTGACGCGAGGCAATATGTTCGTCCTTGAATATGTCATGGATGTTAACTGAATAATTAAGTTTTACAGCTAGTAAAAAACGAAATGCGGAATACATTGTACTTAGCGACAGGCCTAGAACAATTTAGATGTCAGTGATTATACTCATTTTTTGATTCACGCTGTGATTTCAGCAGCCCTTGAGTAAATTATGACTCCGACTCGGAGCAGATATAATTCTCTTATTATATAACGCGGAGACTCCGCCCGGAGATTCGCTTCCTTTTATTCGGCCCCTGAAAGCCCGGAGAGAACGGAAGATATAAATTGCGAGCCCGCCTCCGAATAATACTTTTTCATTTTAATTGCGATGAGCTTTTAGAGAATATTGAAAACATTTTCGCTTTCATTCAATGCGAAGAGCGGTCGGGTGGGGAATTTTACACCGGGTTCATTTCAAAGAATTTTTATCGGTCTGCCCGAGTAGGCTGATGAGAATTGTGGAAAAGTTGTGAAGTTGCCGAACCGCAAGTAACAAACAAAACAAAAAATAACTGCTATTCCTCTAGGACGCCAGTACCTATCTATGCAAAAGATTAGCGAAACCGCCTTAATAAAGAATTACCTAAAATAAAATGATATAACCGAAATACGAATAAAGAATGCAGCTAACCGAATTTAATTATTAATATACAGAAATATACTTATTTAATTTTAAAATGCATATTTTTCTAACGTCAGTGCTTAGCTAACACAATAACAATATTTGGTATATCTAGTTACAATTGCACCCGTATATTACATTGAATTATTTAAAATTATTTTATAGTAGTTCACACAAAAGTAAGGACTTTTCTATTTAACATTACTGTGTGACTTTTAACAATCGCATGTAGTACAGGTGAATCTACATTCTACACCCACAATCAATACAAAAATACTTAAAGTAAGTGTGACTCCTACATTTCCAATTTTCACTTCAAAAACATGCTTCCAAAAATAGACTTCACGTATGAGTATAATATGCGACTACCAAATTGAAGCATGTTGACCCCAGCCCTGAAACATGTTCTGTGCATGTCACTCCCCATTTCGCTAATGGACATTCTGATGGGGTTTATCAAGGACGTCCTTTTAATGGCTGACTAATGTATTTCGTTCGGGATGACTTTCACGTATGTGTGTATTTCACGAATATTTACATTTCCTGTTCTTATAGGAAGCGTCTTTTGGAAACTGGGACATCCTTAGAACCCAAAACTATGTCGTTGATCAATAGGCTCATAGAACACTCTTTGTATAAATCAATCTGTGTTGCACGACCAAAACTACGTCCTTTTACACAATGCGTGTTTCAGCGGCCTTTTGCCTACCCGCTTTGTTTGTGTAGTAGGTTTTTGTACGGTTGAACTGTTAAATAAGTGAAGTAATTAAATTCTTAAATGAATGCAAACGATAATGTATCTTTTTCTTTGAAATGAAAAACAAACCACTTGTTTCACAAATTTTGCGAACATAGTTTTCTTTATTTATATGCACAATTCCTCTTTCTCAATTTTTTATTTGGTTATAATCGTGTTCCAGACTTCTCAGCCTGGATGTATCCTCTCTGGAGGATGTATACTGGCTGGAAGACTCGCCGGCGCGTCACGTAATAGACCCGAAGGACTTCAACGCGTGGTCTCTCGCACGTCAGAGCCTCCCCACGGGTAAGGAAGAGCTGCAAGCGCTGAAGAACGACCTCTGGAACACCGTAGTAAAGAACAGCAAGCATCAGGACGCGTGGACATGGGGTAAGAGCATCGGATACAACATATACAGTACAAGGTTTTCACGATTTTTGCCAAGGTGCCCTATATCTATTTCAATGGATTTGTAATCTATGTAACATAGTCTTAATCTAATATGTAATTAGTGTATTTACCATGTCAAGTCATGTCTACAAAATTCTTGTCAATTGTTCTTTTTTTAAGAATGTTTTTATTTTTATTTTTTAAGTTTTATTTGTTTTGGAATATAAAATTAATTATGACTTCACCAACAAAGCTATTCTCGTACTCTAATAAAAATATAATTGTTTATATATTGTATATCTTGAATGTTTAAGGTGGTATGTTGATCGTGTCTGTGTCCGTCTGTGGACTGGTGACCCTAGCCGCTATGACCCAACCCTCGTTGGCTCCCGAGGCCAAACACTCTCTCCTGCAATACGTCACAGGGAAATACTTGCATCCCCCTAGTTGTAAGGTATTTACCGTACCGTCACTTTACACCATTGATTGATTTTGTCTTTTTTTGCCTAACTCTTCATAATCTGATCAATAAAATTATAGATATGCCTGAAAGGATAAATGTTGTTGTGTACATTTAAGAGTTATTGTTTTAATTATTATTAGAGTTATATTTTGGACCCATTGCTTTTTGATTTGTTATATTTTTTACTTTGCTCTTAGAATGTTTTTGTTTGTCCCACCTCGTGTTAAATAAAGTGTGAGGTGTCGGTAAGGTGGAGTGGGGCTGGGAGGAGCCGCAGCCGGTGGGGGACACCGTGAGTTTCACCGTTTTCTGCTACCAGAGGAACGGACATCCGTACCCAATCTGCGATACTGACGACCTCGCAGTGCATATTTCTCATGGAACTAGAAAGGTGTGCCTGATACCATCATTATTATTATTATAGCGGAATACTTGACAGATTAAAAGCGTATTTTTTTTATTAGTACAAAAATAGTAATATTTCAAATAGGACTTCTCTTTTGTAAAGACACTCTTTGTAAAACTCTTATTGATCATTTTATTTTTGAAGAATTATAAATATGCAAAACATAACATGTATCTGTTCAGATAACAGCAGTGGTGGAGCTAGGGTCCGGTCAGCCGTCGCTCGCGCACACTGCGCGAGTCAAATTCACAGTCCGAACTGCCGGTGTTTATATTATTTCTGTTACGATAGGTATGGATTTTGCTTACCCTCCTTTGTTACTCCTAAATGCTTACTAATGATGTCACTGGGAATGTTGATTTTTTTTAGATTTCAGTTATGATATTTTTCTTCCGTTTCTGAAGATGTATTTTAGATTGAAATAAATTATGACACGGGCAGGCCTGGAACCGGCATCCAATAAGTTCCGTGCTGTTGCTCTCGAGTAGTCTAAAATCGATTTATAATTTATATAATGCCATCATGTGCTAAAACATGCGAAAAATATTAAAGTATACAAAAATTAAATATGGCCTATGTTAATGTGAAGGCGGAGTGGTGGCAGCTGGAGGTCCGTTCCGTAAGTGGTTTATAGCGGGAGGCGTGGCCGCGAGACGGTCGCGCGTCGGGCGAGACCCGGCGGCTCTCGTTTGCGCCGCGGGTCGTGCTCGCGTCTTGCATGTCCACCCAAGAGATCACTACGATAACATCGCCACTCTCGCCACTGACGATGCTAAGGTAGTGCTTTTGTATAAAATATATTCAACTGGGTTTTTGGTTAAGAAGTTTGGTCGGTCCGCCCTTTAAAGTAGTAATTTTAATTTCATGTGTTCAGGGTCCATTAAGGCTTACGGTATTAAGGGTCTGAATTCTGTATCCTGGGTTTGAATCCGACGAGAACATAATTTCAGTCGAACAGACTACAAAAGATGAATTACTTACCCATTTTCAAATGTAATTAGAACAATAAAATGAATGATTTAGATAACACTTAGAAATATCCTTAGTCATTACATGAAAGAGAAATTTTTAGTATAAAATGGAAGATTTTAATTCATTGGAATAAATAACATTTTTTAGAGTTTCTCCATCGAAATATCTCCGGTGGGAGGGGAGGTAGACAAATCGTTATCGACGGCTGCTCAGTTCGAGTATGACAGCGTGAACCAGCGCGTCAGCGTGTCGCTGTGCTTCCCCGAAGCGGGGGTATTCAAGGCTGCTATTTACTATGATGGCGTACTTTTGCACAATGGCCAGTTTGACTGCATCGTTCTGACCCGTAAGTGCTTTTTCATTCGCATGTGCATGCATGAGAGAGCTAAGTCTAGGTCTTTGTCTCTGTTACATTTTTTGCCTTTGATATAAAGTTTAAATAAAAAAAATGATTTATTTTCATTGGGAATGACACCATAACATTGTAAATGTTTTCAAAACTGGCTTGATAGAGGTTTTCAACAATAAAGAACTAAGTGATTCCGCCTAAGAGTCTTAAAGTTTCTACGGTATAGTGTCCAAAATGTCCACATATTTGTAATATATTATTACGATGACGGTAGGGTACTTTACCTTCCATCTAGCAAAGCCCATGGTTGCATTTTACCTTTGTCTTAAAAATTAATATTTTGACATAGCGAGCGATGCAGCGACGGTGCAGCGAGCGTTGTCGTCAAAACGCGCAACTGTGTCTTACGAAGCGCGTCTGCTCTCGCCGGGGAAACAGCGGCGGGTTCTCTGCTGTCTCAGTCCTAAGCAACTCATCATCAAGGACTACATTCTCAAGATCATTCCTAAACGGATCACGTCGTTTAGGGTCTGCCCCTCAACGAAGGTAAGTCCTTGTCAATTTTTTTTTAACTTGACACTGAAAAATAGGCGGACAAACCTAAACCAAAAATAGGTCGATAGCGGATTTTGCTTGGATGCTATAGGCTGAGATTTTACCTACCATCAAGTGATGTTTGTCTGACCTCCATTTATGTTTACATTAGTTTTCCTATATGCGTATTGAGATAAAGTTGACAGTTGATAGTGAGTCCGCGTGCTGAAGACGAGCCGTGCCCGGGTGGTGAACTGGTCTTAGAAGACGGCATGCAGCCACCTCTGCGGTTGCATTGTGCATCTCGGGACCTTCTCGCAGCGACCTTCACTCGTCTTCTCATCGCCAATTGCGGCGGAGAAGACAGCTTTAAGGTATGTCCTGGTTTACAACGAGGGATAGCGTATGAAAGGGTAAAAGATTCTTACTTGGGGATTATGGTAAAGAGTATCTTGTTGTAGAGAAACTTCGACCAACATTGTCTTAAGAATTCATAAAGTATAGTTGACGTAAAACGTTTAAAAACTAGATCTCATTTTTCATTAACTAACGCCAAACTATGTCTTAATGTCGCAGAACAAACAAGAGTTCTTCTATAGTGAGATGCGTACTGCGCATGCCCGGTATCCGCACGACAAAATTGCATTGCGTGTACGCCGAGATGATCTAGTCAGGTCAAGTCTCAAAGCTACGAAGCATTTCACGCTTGCTGATTGGTGCAAGAATTTCGACGTCGCTTTTCACGGCGAGCAAGGTAATAAAGAAATATATTTTTACGTGTAGATGGCGCTATGTTCAACTAATCTTTTTGATAAAAACTAAATATTTAGAATACCTCTCATGTGCACTTAATGATAGATAAATAATAAAAAATGATATATTTAAAAGGTGTGGACTGGGGTGGAGTACGGCGAGAATGGTTCTCGCTGTTGTGCGGTCAGCTGTTCGATGCGCGTTTCGGCCTGTTCGTGTCCTACACAGAATCCGCGGCGGGCTTAGTGCACCCTAATCCAGATCGTCCACCTCATCTTAAGGTCACTTTTGAAGTATTCAATATAATTGAAAAGGATAAAGATACATTTGAAATTTTAATAGTTTTTATTGTAATGTCATTCAATTAGTTTTCTTTGATTCCAGCTGAAACACTTCGAGCTGGCTGGCAAGATTGTAGGCAAGTGTTTGTATGAGAGTGCGTTGGGCGGGTCCTACCGTCAGTTAGTGCGGGCGCGTTTAGCACGCTCGTTCCTCGCTCACATTATTGGTCTGCGCGTTCATTATAAGGTACGTACTATGGTCATCAAATCGCTGATAACTTCAAAGTGAAATTTTAAATTAGAAAGTTACAAGAGTTTTAGCTATTACAAGTTACTTATATAGACGTATAAGATTCTGAAGCTATTTTTTGCTTTAAAATTCGACATTTAAGAATTAATAATTTGTCTAGGATACAAATGTCATTTTATTTGTATGGTGGTTAGTACTATATGTTATTAGTTCCATAAATAATTTTCCTGATAATAATAAAAAAAACTATCAACACTCATAAGCTTCTTAAGTTCCTACTTTGAGAATCGGGGCCTTCTAGAAAATCCTAACGAATTTTTAGTTCTATGTCATGTCAGTTCCTTGAGGTATTTTCCTTATATCTTCTTATACGTAAGCATGTTATTACATATTGCTTTTTTATGTTTTTCTTAGTAGAAGGTAAGAAAATGTCAATAGTTTTTTCAGTATTTTGAGCAAGACGACCCCGAATTGTACCTCTCCAAGATCAAGTATATTCTGGAGACCGACCTGGATGCACCTGACTCGTCTCCGGAGATCTATTTTGCGGACGACGTCTACGATTCAGCTGGACGCTTGGTGGAGACAAAGGAGCTGGTTCCCAACGGTGCTTTTATACGGGTAAGCTTATTATTAGTAAATAAACATATACATACTGTGAATTTAATAATTTTTCCTAAATCATCTGTATCTTACAGAAAAATATCCCATGACAATTCATCATCAATCTTCTTCGTTTTTGGTACCAGACACAACTGGGTCCTTCCAATATTTTTTTTGTTAAGTAAATGATAGTACATACCCATGATTATAATTTATTATATACAGGTAACCAACAGCAGTAAGATAGCATATTTAGATGCGCTAGCGCAGTGGAGGCTGGCTGGAAGGTGGCGCGCTGAGAGTGACGCATTTCTTCGAGGTTTAACTTTATTGGTTCCTGATAATCTGCTGGCAATATTTGATGAAAACGAACTTGAGGTAATAAAACAAAACCTTATATTATTTGTGTACTTTTTTTAGATTTACATTATGATATGATGTACAGTTTTTTTTTAATATACAGTCTATATACTAATACTACCGCATAAAAGTACGTCTAACATTGTTTTTGAACGTGCTATTTTATATAACAGTATTACTCTTTGATATTTTTTTATGACTCAAAAGGACAGACAAGCGATACCTGCTATATCACATCTTGACGAGATGCACTGTCTCTCTATTTTTGCTTTACATTTTTATTTTGTTTTAAAATTTACTGCTTTTGCCTCTGTCGACAGTGATTCGTGACTCAGGCGGCATTTCGATATTACTGCCACTCATTTCATATCGGGCATTTAGATTTTCCAGACATTGTTTAACTTGTTTAATAAGAATTACATATTAATTACACCAATGGGGCCATCAAAGAGGTGATGCTACTGTCTGACCATAGTTGCTGATGTGTGGCACGGGAGAAGTGGACGTCGCGGACTGGCGTGCGCACGCGTTGGTCTCAGGATCCGGGAGGGAGTGGGAGCGACGACTCGGTTGGCTTTGGGCTGCGTTAACCAACTTCACTAATGAGGAACGTGCGCGTCTGCTACAATTCACCACGGGCTGCTCGCAGCTGCCACCAAATGGTTTTCAGGTATGTATTGCTTTAATTAAACTTGCTAACGATATGGAAATTTGTGATATGTCACGGTATGTCTTTGGGGCGTGCGCTGCTTATTTTTGTAAATTGCAAATAAAATGCTTATAAATTGGTAAGGCTTTCACGGCCATCGTTCAGCATTTCATTGTCTTTCGGGGCTCCTCGATTGCTCGAAGAATTAATTATTTTTATTACTAATTCTTCGAGCAATCGAGGAGTTAACATCTCCTGATGATGCCGTCCACACGTGATGGCGAAACGTCAAGAACCTCTTCTCGCTCACATCGGCCGAACATCCCGAAAGACAATATGATAAAATGCTTATATTGAACATAGGACGTATATTTTTCGTTCCCAGTGTGTTTTATCTTATTTTGTTTTAATTTACTTTGCAATTTTATTCAATAACACGTTTTATTTAAATAAAACACTTTAACGGTTTGAAACTGATGAATTTGAAAATTATTTGACCTACGGCTCGACGATTCAGATTCTTTACAGCAGCCCATTAAACACTTCAACTTCACTATTCAACCTGATACGCTGTATTTCTTTTTTCTTTGAAATTTTGATGCATTAACCATTTCATTTTTTTTTATATAGTGCCTTATGTGCAATAACATGTGAAAAATTTAATGTTTTTAAATCGCACTAATTGATTAGATTTACATATGTGGAAGATTTTTCTATTCTCTTTTGGTGTTATAAATGTGCAGTGTATTCGCCAATTAATTGCACCACAATCAAACGATCACCAATAGATCATTCAATCCAAGATTCAAGTACAAACATAATAGCTATTTGCAAAAAGAGATGTGAAGACTGTAAGAAATTGCTTTAATTTTTTTTTGCTTGTAGACTTATTGATAGATACAAAAAATAAAATTTGTTTTGTTTCTATATAAGAATATTCTTCCTCTTCAGGATCTCAACCCGCGCTTCCAAATAACAGCGGCGCCGACGTTCGGTGCTTTGCCGACAGCCCACACGTGCTTCAATCAGCTCTGTTTGCCCGACTACGACTCGTACGAGCAGATGGTCCACGCTTTATTGTGGGCCATCAACGAGGGCGGCGAAGGATTTGGAATGATATAAATTCTAACTTTTACCAAAAACCTCCATCGGCCTAAAGTTCTATTGAATTCGTAAAGTACGCTATTATTTTCAAGTAGAAGGGAAGTTTTCAATGAGAGTGGTACAAGATTTACATTTTTATCACTGTTTCTTTAGCTGACTAACAACGCCAGGTACTGACTAAAAGCGTGATGTTATGTAAAACTAACCCACATCCACAATTCGTGCAACCAGAACGTACTCTTACGATGAAATCAAAGTACGCAAGTAATTGGTCAGTACCTCACTGCACGGGCAGAAGTCAATGAAAATCGCAATTGTAATTTACCGATTGCAACACCAAAGTATTCTCTAGTCGGCCTAGTTAACGAATTAGTACTTGACAAATTATGACTTATAATGTTAGTCTCGACACATTTGTCTTTAACATTAAAAAATCTATGTTTTCCTAAGAATTACTCAAAAGCAACGAGAACTAGTCATTTAAAGGATAAAATGCGTTCTTGAAGTTATACGTAAACGGATATCAGATAAAACGTAATATTTATAACTGTTATTATTTGACATAAGTTTATACACATACCGTTGGTGTAACAGGCGTGTGCTATGCTGGAATATTCATCTAATTTATATTAAATCAGCCAATAAATAAGAAAAGAGGCTAAGTAAGAGTAACTAAAGGGATTTTTTCTAGTCGTTATCACACGCATGTTATACCTACATAAAAAACGAGTAAGTCACTCAAAGTCTATAAGATACTTGTAGTGTATTTTTTTTAACATGGCAAAAGACCACAACAAACATGGCCGATTTCAAATTATAGAGATGTAGTGATGACCATTTATAGAGTGAAGTTTTTGCCGCAGATGACAGAGATAACGAAATATCGATTATATATGGACCAAACGCCCCCAATATTCAAAATCACTTTAATTACGACTATTATTTTTATATTTATCCACCATTTCTACCTTTTCATTTTCGTAGACTTTGCTAACATCCCATTGTTATGTTAATGTCAAACTAAACAAAATTTTAATGTCTATTTACATAATTTCATTTTTAGGATTCTTATTAAGTTAATCATGTAATTGTGGTTTTTACTAAATGAATTTGAGGTAGCTCATTAGTTTGTTATATAATCCAGTATTTTTAGTATAAATCAAAGTAAACCTTGTGAGAAGAACGAGATTTAAAGTAAATTATGTGTTTGTTTACCAAATTTACCAAGTTAGAAAAAATACACTATACATTATGTGTAAGTCTGTGCAGATTACCCGTAGAAGTAAGTGGATAGCCTAAAAGAACCCCATACGTACGATAGGTTGCGTAGCTGTAGCACTCTTTGAAGTTGTGTCTTCTAGCAGAATAACTCCTATCAGCAATACATAGGTTGTGCATAGAATATCTTAGGACTTAATACGGGTTTTTATTTATCAAACGTCAAACTGTGCTTCTAACAATTGGAAAAGGTGGTTTAATTTTGGAGATTGAATATTCAAATATAATTCTACGACAATTAAAAATTCGCACATAAGGCTACATATAGGTGGTGCAGACGCCACAGAAGCGAAAAACTAAATCATTTTAATTTGTTGTTGTATTTGGTCAAAGGATACCACTGTTTTTAAAATACTTTTTGTCATAAGATATTTAAGAGAGGTTTAAGTGTATTCAATTTTTTAAATAAGTGATGACAGAACAAGTGTTGGAACATAACTGTTAGAAAAGGTACTCGGCTGTTCGAGCCTTTTAATTTATTATTGAAAAATAGCTTTCGCTTCGCTTCGCTTTCAAAACGTGTCATTAAAAGATGACTAGCGGTCAAAATAATTTTTAATTTTGAATGCCAAACCGCTCAAAAACAGTGTTCCTAAAAGGCTTATACAGTCTAAAGGACTTGTAAGAATCAGTATACTTTCATATTTAAAAACTCGTATTATCAGCCTCCGTTTGTTGTCGTGAATATAACAGTGAACATAAACATAGAGTAAGTTCTATCTAGGAAACGTTGATATTTCGTTTAATATAGCTTGCATAGGTTCTACCGTTTCTTATATTTTGCCCAAAGTTTTCGTTACAGAAGTCAAATCAAAGAGGCTTCATGTTTGTGCGTTATCAACTCTATTCGCTACTAAAAAAAACAACTTATTTTATTATTAGGCTCTTAAATATTGGTTTCTTTAAATTAAATAAAACATTCAACTGCCGTATTAAAAGTATGATAAGTACATACTGCGCCAAAGATCTTTAAAAACCTTGTCGCGCGTAGGTTATTCGATCAAGGGAGATTTGTTGCACCCATTTTCTTCTATGTATATACTTAAAAGTGACGGTAGTATTACGTTTGTTCGGCCTCATTCATATAAAATAGATCTCTAATCGAAAACTCAATGTGATCTTATACGTACTAGATTATAAAATTGTTACAATAACTTGTTCTTAGGTAACGTTATTTTTGGGAACTGAGGCTAACTTAGCTTTAAAGGGAACCCCACATTTACTACATTTACCTTAGTTAAACAATTTTAACCTTACATAGAGTAAAGCATATTATATTTACCTCACTAAATCTCAACCTAACATACGAGAGGTCTAAAATTTCTCTTCTCATCTGAGTAAGAGTCAATTGGTAAAGTTTAATTTAAAAACTATAATACTTTATAATTTGGATTCCCTTTTGTTTTCAGTATTCGATCATAAGTTTTGTATGTGACGCACCGAGTCACTTTTTTACTTTTGTATAAATATGCACAAATGTCTCCTGTAATTTAACCTTTGAAATGAACTTCAAGACGAAAGGCACGTGTGGGCAGAGTTACATTTCATGTTTCATTTCAAAGGTCCGTTACAGAATCTTCGTGTAAGGTGAGAATATGAATCTTGGCGTTGAAGCATTCCAAATGTTACGTTGTAGTAGTCTATTAGAATTGTAAGACTGAATAAATTATTGAACAAAAACGCACACTTTTAATTTACCCTTGTATGAAATGTTTGGGAAAAAGTAACCCAACAACGCGCATTTAAGTAAAAAAAAGATTCCCTAAGATATCCCTTCCTCTGCCCCCCTTTTTTACTCATGTATATGTCAAAACTGAATATATTTAAATAGGTATAATAAGAAGTAAAGGTCATCGTAAAGTCAAGGTAAATTCGATTTATTCGTAACAATTAAATATATATTACAATTCAAAACATTAAAATACTTACCGTAGGGCAATATTACACAATAATAAACATGGCGCTTTATAAAATACATCATACCTTCAGCAAAATTAATGTAAACATTGAATACAAATTAGCATAATTTCCATGCAAAGGCGGTTTCCGCGAATTTGTGACAAAAGGCAGTTATCCGTTACATCACGCTGACGTCCTCAAACGCATCACTACTAATCGTACGACAATTATTTTAAACACGGATCTTACGATATAATTAGATTACGATATTTTTTACAGTTTCTTATTGATACAAATGGCTATTCAATAGAATTAAGATTTATTACTTACCCATACTTTGATAAACGCTAAAGTCCGTCAACTAGTTATATTAGGAGAACTATTTTTCTTAACAGCTTTTGTTGACACGTCGTGTTATCTCTCGTTTGAAAAGTTGATTTAGGCTCAACAGCCGTGCCTTGCAGGTGCTAAAGTCCAGAGCACAGCCTCCGGAAGCGACATAGGATGACGTAGCCAACCTCTAGCGAATCCAAGCATTCTACAAAAAAAGGACGCAGTATAAAATTAAATACAATAGAAATTACATGAAATCATTCAAAGTATTTCCATTCGAAAGAAATTAAAAAATACTTAGTAAGTGGTGTAGGCCACCAAGCGAGCTGTTCTTTGGTGGCGGCCAGCTCTTGCGCAATGAGAGCGATGTGCGCGCGCATCTCATTCATCTCGGCTGCGCGGGCGACGCTCTCTTGAGTGGCTAGCGACACCTGTTCTTTAAGTGATCTACACTCTGAAGCGACCAACTCTCGAGCCCTATGAAGTAATGTAAATTAAAAAAAGCAGGAATGTGATCTTATTGTTAATTATTTGGCTTAAGCTTCTACCAAAGTACGTTAATTGCTGTCCTAGAACCTAAGACGCAATTCTTTCGTATTTATGATGATTTTATTTGTTTATAACAATTTTGGAGAAACATGTTGTGTTTCCTGAATCTCCATGTATCGCAGATCTTAAACAAGACCTCTATATCATTGAAATATAGATAAAGCGAAAGTTTAAAGATTACTGTTTCTCAATTTGCAATTGCCGACACGTGTCATCTAAGAGGCGTTGCCGGTCGTCGACGTCGCGTCGCAGTTTTTCATTTTCTTCTTCTGCAGACGATAGCAAAGACTCGTGGTGTGTTAAGTCGTCTTCCAAAATGTTTATCTGTCCCAATTAGATCCTATTTAGTTTGTTTATTTCATAGTAGGCATTATCGTGATTTGATTTGTAGAAAACTTTATTATAGCCTAAAAAACCTCGAAGATGAAAAATAATTATTCGAAGATCTGGATTTCTCTTCCTTTAAATCTCCTGTTTTAATTAAGTTTTACCTTGGTCTCAAAATTTAATAATCTTCTGAAGGGCATCGTTTATCTACAAGTAGAGGTTGAGATACTCAAAGTTACCCGACGGTAAGCGTGATCCCGTTGCACACGAGCATCCATGACAGCTGCTCTTTCAAGGGCTAAAGCCTGTTCCGCTGCGCCGTGAGCTGCGCGGGCGCACTCAAGCTCATTGCGAGTGTTTCGCCATCCTATATTTAAACTAGATTCTATAGCTCACCTCAGGGTATATATTTATCACATCAAAACATCATTGTCACTGATTTATATACATTTTTGGGCCACTTGTTACGCAGTAGAAAGTAGAAATACAAGGATTTTTGACAAATTTTGTTTTAAAATTACTATTATTAAGGCAAAAATCACTGATGTCACCTTACTACTAATATTAGTAGAAATACGAACAAAAAACATAAAAAAGCCACCTAATCTTCAGAAGCTAACTACCTCATTACATTAAAATATAATTTCAACTAAGTCATACCAATGCTCAATTCAGACATGCGGTCTTCAGCTGCGCAAACGTCTTGTTCTAGCGCAGTTTTTTCCTAAATAGGAAAAGCATACATTAGGATTAGAAGTAATCTCATATTTGGCTCCTTTAGTTTAATTTCGAACCTTTGTAATAAATTTTCGGTGCTCAGGAACTGGTCACGTTAGCTGTGCAAACAAATCGTTCTTACCCTTTCCAATATCGCCTTCTCGATATCCTTTTCCTTGACCAATTGTTTCAGTCTTTCCAATTCACGCATCGCCAAGCGAACCTTCATATTGTCTGAATCCAAGAGGGTCTTCAACGCACCAATTTGCATACGAAGGCGATCGGAGCAGCAAACCTTCAATAGTCACTTATCTTTATGATACAAAACCAATGAAAGTTTATTTAACAAATTTTCAATACAAATAAATTTGGTTGGCCTAAACTATATACCTACCATGCATATTTGTGTCATTGTAGTTAGGGGTTATTATTTGTTAGCTATATTATGTAGTTGTTGTATCTTTATATTAACGATTCTAAGCCAATATTGTATGATTAACAATTCATTTGAGCTGAAACTCTAAAACCACCTGAAATTCTAAAGTTTTTCGGAGGCAGCGGACTTCTTCGCGACGACGTCTCCAAGTAACCACCAACATGAAGCGGCTGATCTTCGCTGCAGCATTCTCCTCCAACGCATTGTGGAGACCAGGCGAACGCACCACAGATAACCTTTCTTTTCTAAAGCAAGCAAATTAATGAAAATGTAGGAATTTGTGAGCGAGACTACGAAATTAAACTACAGTTAAGACTAACACGCATAGCTTCAAACCTATTTCTCTTGGGTTTATTAGGAGTGAGATCCTCCATAGAGGCAGCCTTCGGTCCAATTCTGGGACGCTTTGCGGTCGCATACTCATCGAGACAGCTTCTAATGCGGGATAAGTTTGGGTTGGGCGCTGAGTACTTCGCGGTAAACTTGTTTACCGTCGCGGAGCAAAAGTGTTTGCGTGGCACTCGTTGTACGCGTCGTCTAAAAAAGCGAAATGAAACTTTGTCTGTAATTTACGGGATTAAATACACACATTTAAATTAAACACTAACGGTTTAAAACGATATATATTACAGCTTGACGTTTCAGATGCATTGCAGCATCCGTGGTCACGGAGAGGTTTCCCAAGATATCGCGTTTTAAACTGTTAAAGTGTTTTATTTAAAAAATCGAAATAGTCAAGTGCTGACTCTCGACTCAACCACTGACATATTTTAAAGCCATATTTATAAAGACTTTTTGGTGCCATGCGTTAACAGTGCACAGGCCCTATCAATACAAAGCGCAATAAGCGGAAAAATCCTTATAACGGATATATAATATAAATATAAGATAAGTTTTAAAAAAAGCCAGATTGAGTTTCTTGGGTGTTTTTCTCAGTTATGTTGCTCTTTTGAACACTCTGTAGAATCACGACAAACAGACAGACAAACAAAAAAAAAATTACGAATCTATATAATTTTTATAATTTTAAAGAGAATTTTTTTTTTCTTCCAAAAGGTGCTTAAAACCTAAAATATAGTAAATAATATAATATAATAATAATTATTATATATTATTTATAACATGTAAACATAATCTCTTATTAAATTAAAAATTTTCCTTCAAAATTGCTCCACCGCTATGGTCTTTGTGCAGAATTGTTTCCTCGGTTAAGGAAAACTCTAATCACATGAAAACAAAGATGAATAATTCACGCTTTTTCTAGTCGCGTGTTTAATTATTAACTAGGCATTTCTTTGGCACTTAAATAATTATGCAAAGGGCTTGAAATAGGATTCGTGTATTTGGCTGTCTATCCGTCTGTCACCAGACAGTATCTTAAAAGCTTTTTAAAGCTATGTAGCAGGTTTAACAACAAATATTAAAAAATGAATCTTCAAGAGGCACCTCGTACGAAAAATACAATTTCATCATCGTTATGGTCGATATAAATAAATAATAATAGGATAGGCACTAGAAGTGGTACGGATTCCTTCGTACGTAAGATTGACGGGCAACGGGCTGCTTCCCCTTAGAATTCTAATACTAGTAGTAGTACTACTAAATTTACTAATATTTAGGACTTACGTAGGCGTTGCATATAAGTTGTGTCTCTCTCGTGACAATTCTCGTTCCGAGATATCACCAGCTCCCGATCTTGCAACTGGCGACGCACTTTGTGGCACCTTCAAATGCTCTGGCATATCTGTTAATCAAACGTTTCTTAAAATTTCACTTTCACTTTACCCTTCTGTGTTATCCTGAGAATAAAAACCTCGATAGGAAGCGAGCAATTGTTTATAGGACTTTCAATAAAATCTTCCCACAAGTCGTACAAACTTACGAACCGCTAGTCACTCTGTAATTAATTATTATCTAGGCCTGCCCGGTGTTTCATGTAGCTTAAACCTAGGGCTTATTTTCACTTGTGCCATTTAGAATTGCTAATCCGTCGTTGTGAATTCTACTAATTCGTTGAAAATATGTTTTACTCACTTTTTGTAGAAATGAACAAAGGAAATATAAAACAGCTTCTTTGGATTGTTGTTAAAGATGTGGTATTGATTGACGTATTAAAGTCGCCAGAAATTTGAATTCTATAGGCGTTTGGAACGAAAAAAAATTTTTTTTAATGTCCCACTTTTACCATTGAGGTTTAATAACTACATGGACCTACCTATAAATGTAAACATAATTTTGTTCACGTTCATGACCAATTCAATCCAAACCCACTTTGAATGTTTGTCTCGATAAGCATATACTGAACAGATAAATATAAAAAATAAAAGGAGACTTTTCTTTTTCTTTTTTTCCGAGAAACGTAACCCCTTCTTGCGTTCTCGGGCTAAAGTCCTGGCCCATTAAATAATTGAATCGCGCCGATAATGGCTTCCGTCCCTTCGTTGGGGTTGATGGTATCAACGGTTTGGCAGACGGCAATCGCCACGAGGGTGCGGTGGCGCGTCACATCGACTGGCGCCGAGTCGGGGCGCCAGCCACGGTGGCGCTTTCCAGGACTCAGGTGTATGGCGTAGCTGAGCAGGTACCTAACATAAGGTAACATATAGGTCTACCAAGGTACCACTTATCTGTCAGGAAATAACATTTACCCACTAAAGCTGGGAAGTAGTCTTATATTTATCGTGTAACCTTTCGTATTTTCGAAAATATTCATAACTTTGAATCTGTATCAATATGGAATTGTATTTCCTTTAGTTATATATTTTTTTTTTTGAAACAGTTTTAAACTTTGTTAAATGTTTGCAAAATGTTATTGAAATAAGTTGCTTAAAATCTCAAAATAAAGGTGAATCATGTACTTATAGTATAGCTAAACACGCATGTTATAGATCCACGTAATAATAGCACGTCAGATAGCAATCGTTACCTGCAAACCTAAAGGCAGGTCATGATTTTCACCCTATTGCTAAAAGCCCTTCAATCTATTATGCAATTCCACGAGGGCCCGATGTACCTGGGCACACAGCGATATAGATAGATAAGTATGTATTAACTTGTACATAACCATTTGGCTTTGTGCTATTGTTTGTATGATTCTTTAAATTTAAAAAGGTTTCAGTTTTGGCGCCACACGCTAGCTGAAAGAAATAAATAGGCGCGGAACTAGGCGCCACAAGTCATGAACCTGATGACTCATAAGTTATATGTAAACTGGCTGCATTGCAAAACTACTGACATAAACTTTCTCAAGCATTGGTTTTTTTTTAGATGAAACTAAAAAGAGGTTAGTATACAAAGCATATTTATATAGACTTTCCGACTCAAATTGAAGCAAAGTGTAATCCCTACCGTTACTCATCCTTTCATCCCCTTAGCAAAATGCGTACAAATGACTCATACTAGAATTACTGAAATACGCCGAATTCTACACCCACGTACCCGAATAAGGTTAGATGAAAGGATTTCAGGAGTATGACTCATATATAAGAAAAAGGCTAAATCAGAAAATTTACAATATTGCCCTAATAGTAATAAATAAATACAATATTCTTTAATTATAATTTAATAAATGAGTAAGTCTAATCAAATAGGTATCTAAAATACAATTCCCTCTTTATTGTTTTAATATATTTTGGCATATTTTATTCTAATTCTTCCATATCAATATTATTAATGACGATTACGTCACTCGAACAAAAATTAATAATGAAAAATAATAGAGTGTATTTTGTATTGTCAATGTCAAGTATACCCTTAATATTCTAATTGGTTCATATGTCAAAACTCATAATGGCGGGAAAAATATAAATCATCGATCATTGTGTTTTATCATTCAATTTTAATATTACCTAATAAGTATAAAAAGCTTAAAATTGGATGAAACGTTTTCAACCAAAAAATATTTAATCTAATTCGTTACAAAATAAGATAAAAATTGAAAGTTGTTGTTTTATAGCTATCTCACTCACACTCGTGTAAAAAGTTTCTTGATTAGATTGCGCATGCGCAGTTTCTGCGTATACGATACGTCACAACAGCGCCATGTGACATTTTGCGTTCTCGCGTCCAATTGCAAGCAGTCGTTCGTCGTGTGACGTTCAGTTTTTACTTTTTATACATTCGATGCACACAGTAGCGATATTTCTATAAATTGTATCAATTTGTGACGTTTACTCCAGCCAAGTAACATCTTTTAAACTCAGAATAGTTTTGAGCAATACGCCATTACGTTAACTTAATAATCTGTGACTGATCAGTGTTTTTAATGCGATAAGTTAGTGCACAAGTGCGAATTTCGATATAACCTGTTCTTTATTTCTTGGAACCGTGCATGCTGTGTACTGACGAGACCTTGATAGCTAGTCGCTCGAACAACTGAAGACAGTTATTATAGGATCATGCTCGAGGAGGTACGTCTTTAGTTTACGATTCGTGTTAATCGCGCGGCAACAGTGAGATTGTGCGAGTTATCATTCGTCTAGTGCAGTCAGTGATGACGAAATTAAAAAATAAGTGCTGATAGACCTCAGTTTGGTGTCCTCGGTCGAGGTAACGTGCGATGGACAACGGCGGAGGTAATCCAGTGAAAACATTGCATGAGACCGCTCTAATTAGATGACCAAACGACACCACAGCCTCTTTGCACATAGTTTTAGCATGTTTGTTTATTTATTACTTCCCTAAGGTTAGCATTATTAGAAGTATTCGACTAAAATTGATCTATATCAAAACTTGAGCTCTCTGAAGTGTCAATCTATAAATATCTTGAAAGCTAGTTCATTGAAAGTAGAGCAGTCCTACAGTTACTATGTATATATTAACCAACTCTTTTCCTTGTCATCTCAACTTTCTTTAGGCTAAAATAGGTTGGATATTTTAATATACAATGGTTTGCATGAAATCATTTTTGTCATTGTTTTTTTCAATACTTAATATTTTTACCAATCTTTAAATATGTAAAAATGTTTACCAATTTTTACATATTAGAAAAAACATTTTTTTAACTTTGTGGCTATTGAAAAATAGGTATAATACTAAAATTAAAATCAATTTATTTATACATAATTGTCCTGCCTTCTTGTTAAGTCAATTTAATTTATGCACTGTATAGTATTATGAAAATATAATCATGTACAATATGTTTTAAAAAATTTTAAAATGTCTGCTAAACCCTTTCCCCCATAAAAAAGAAGTTATTAATATAATTTAGAGCTTTCACACTTTTTAACTAAAATATTTCTTTCTATGATTTATTACTTAAAAGACAAAGAACAAATAACAACTTAATAAAAATAACAATACATTATTCCATCAGCTTACTTTATAAACAATAAAAAGCTTTTTTTACTATTTCTAATACCAATTATATACAATTCTTTTTATAAATAAATAAAAGTCTGATCACAGGTGGCATGTAAATAACTAACAAAAAAGTCCTTTCACTTGTAGTTAGGTTCCCCACAATATTGGAGGCACTAATTTTAGCTTAGCGCTAGGGTGAGGGTGCCGATATCTATGAACAGATCACGCAGCGTTGAACACGCAAATATTACTTTCATATTTCATAATACAATTACACCATAACTTGGGGTTCTTTTTTAAAATTTTATTTAAACTTATTAGTGTTTTACATACTTGACAAAAACATATTTGACATAAATTTTGACATCCAGTACTTATAAAATGTAGTTGTATGTACTAACATCCCTCATAAAGTGTGAGTAAGGCATTAGGTATATTTGTTAGCAATTTATGTAGACTGAACAACTGGCCTTCAAATTTTGTCTCAAGAAGAAAAAAAAAGGTACTCATTAAAAGCTAACACCTGTCACAAACTATTGTCTGTGAGTGTATTGATAGTCTTTAATTGATGCCCATCGAAGTAAATAATTATGTATAATAATGAGGCATTTTGTTAGCACACACACCAATATAGTGTGATAAGAAATATGTATTTTAAAGTCACAATTTGCCCAATACAAAAATATGTCTCATTTTATGGCCACATTTGTGTTAATATAGTTTTCCTTATAGCAGTTGCTCATCAGGTTATTGAATGATTTATCCCCACCATTTTAAATACCACAAATTCAAACCATTAGTTATTTGTCAGTCCATTACTGAGTTCGTGTTCTTTAGGGGTTGTCAAAGTGATTTTTTTGTGAATTGTTTTATCAAAATGGTGACTGCAGGAATGTTTGTCTTGTATTATCCAGGTTGGTGGGCTTTGCCAAATAACTTGTAAAAAGAACACAGTTTAGTTAACACAAGAACTAAGAACTAGTGTTAGTGGCTGACCACTGAAAATTATTAAATTATTGCTTTGTACATATGTTTATTTGTTACAATTATGATGACTATTGGATTTTTACTTACTTACAAAAGTTAAACAAAAGTATAAAAACACATCCCAAATGAACTCCAACCAATTTTTATTATTTGCCAATTTTAGGGAATTTCACAGTCAATTTTTACAAGGTCGTTATTTCAACATATTCATTCTATAATATATAAGTAAGCGCCCTTCATTCACAATCAAGTGTCCTACACTTGAGTGATCTAAAGTAGCAAAACCAGTTAAGTCATTGTCCTACTCACTTGGTTAATTAGCAATAGCTGTGTCATTTTCCTTGTTTATTCTTTTAAGAAGAATGATTTCTATAACCTCAGTAGAATAAATGCTTTTTTGGTTATTTAAAATATTTTTTATATTAACATATATGAATTCGCATATTAAGTTCGCAAACTTACAAGACTAAAATGGTGGTAAAGTCAACAAGTCACAGGTTTCGAAGTTTTATAAAAGCTTGTTCCGTGAATTATATCAAATTGCAGTATTTTTTATATTGTGCTGGGTTATTATTATTATTATGTTCTTATATACAATACCTGCTAATCATTTCATCTATTTGCCCATTCCCCCTTTGCGGAAGATTTTGAGTTATCACTCACTGTCTCCTTTAAACGTTCCGGTTTTGGTGGCGTATTGATCACTTTTAAATATAACTATTTATATCTGCAAAGATTTCAACATGACCAGTAACCGCGGCTATGTTATCACAGGACGTGTAATTATAAATATAAATTAAAAACAAACGCACGACCAACAAGTAAAGAATAAACAAATTATTATTTATGTTGACACTTTAGAGGTGTGGAGTTCTAAAAACGTTTGATAAAAAAAAAACTATTATGATTTCTCTATCTTTGTATGCTTTTCCTTATGAACACTCAATATATAGTGGTTCCTTTAGATTACAATATTTTCTGATGAGTACTTGACGACCTACCTACATTGTCTACATAATATTATCTGTACTGCGTAATAAATGCGATTCGAGGAAGCTCGGATTTAATGCACGTTTTATTATGCTTTAATTAACCGTTTATACAAAAGGTCTGCTTCACTTACTGTCTTGCATATGAAGACCAGACACTCGCCAAAAATTGGGATGTTATATTCGTTTGTACGTAATCGGTTTAAAAAAGTAATAAGTTTAAATAAGAACAGTGTAGAATTGTTAAATTATTATTTCAAATATCTGTTTGATAGATCATTCTCGCTTTTATAAAATCTGGAAGTAGCATTGTTTTTGGTTGCTATTTGTTATTTTGCGTTGCTATTTTTAGTAAGTAGTAGTAGGTGGTTAGGTGGCAAGATTGCGAAACACGATGCGCTTCGATTCTCACTTCTGTATTTTCTTTTACATACATTTGATTTATCAACTGTGTCAAAAAAGCGGCACCGTACAATATTAGACAATACACTTATATCTATATGAATTTATACTCACGTTTTTAGCAAAAGAATGCGGCGGCCCGTAGCACGTGTCGCCGTTTAGAAAGTAGAGCAATAATTTCCGCCTACCTTCCTTTTATCCTGTTGGGAACTTGTTTTCTCGATTTATAAATAAACTTCGTTATCACACTACGTAAACCTTTTATTATTGGACATAATTGGGATAGGCAAGTGTATAGGTTTATCCACTCGCAACGTGGTCAATGACATATAAACATTAAAATTCACCTTTGGTGGTCAGTTACAGTATTAAGTTCTTAGTAAATGTTCTGTTCTCTTCTAGTTACCGTATTAAATGCACTTGGCAGCGTATAGTCTACTTCATGTCTACGATACTGCGATCGTCATTAATATCTTGTGAATTACGTAAGCTTTAATGAATGCGATGACAGTTTCATTATTGTATGTAAGTAGTTCAAACTGTCCTTAGAATTATAGCATTATTGAAAAGAAAAATATATTTTTTCCGTCCTTTTTAAATGGCCCGCTCCACTATTTTCCTTTGTTTTGCTACACTACCTACTAGGTCATCAACTTTTGGCAAGTCGTATGTGTAGCGGCTAAGATAGGAATGAGTTTCTTTTAAATCTTTATTAAATTACTATCTATTGACTAATAAGTTTGAATTTAAAGTAAAAGAAATGGGTATCACGTACGAAACCAAAAGATTTACTGCACTATTTTTAGAACTAGGTTTGTCGTAAAATCCGTGACGCTAACGTAGGAATTTACATCTTACATGGGCATCAGTGGTAGGAGCGTAGGTGTTGTTCAAACGTGTTCCTTCTGAAACACCAATGGTGTGCTGTGGTTTCGGTCGTCTCTCACACGTCTATCACACTCCCCACGCCACAATGTCTCATATATCCACAAAGTGGATAAACTAAGGAAAACAACACTCCTCAAAAACGTTGGATGGATTCTAAAATAAGCCGGAATGCTAAAGACCTGCACTGTCTACGCTTAATGTTGTGTTTTGCTTACATATATTTCCTTGCTAGCCGCTATATTGTGCTTCTTGCTTTTATGTTGCCTCACCGCAAAATTAGATATACAGGAACACTGTTCTGTGTTTCCTTCTTTACTAAAATTTTTTGAAGTAGTAGTTCAATAATCTCAAGAAGTAATGTTGTTTAAATAGTTTAAAATATAATTTTGTAGCTTCTTGCACATATGTAGGACTAGTAGGGGTTAAGGACTGCAATAGAAAATTATTACTAGCTCGCTTGTAAAGCTTTGTATGGAAATAAAATTATATATAAATTAATGGTTAATAAAGTTTTATCGCCGACTGTATTCTTTGTTAATAAAGCTGATGAAAGGTCCATTTGTTCCGTAGTCCGCAGCTTAATATAACAATGCTTAGTGTGAGCCGCTTCTGACCCAGTGCTAACCGAATGCGTGTTCTTTGCAGAGGGCGTTTTAGAAAATATAATACACAATGACGGCGAACCTCCCACCCACCTGAATATTAGTGATGTCAGTAAGTATGCGATGTCCGATTCACTTCCTTCTCTGCTTCGACTAATACTATTTTTCTGATCCTTGGAAATTTTCACTAAATGACAAGTAAAATTTCTTCTACCTCTGCACGAGTACATGAAATTGAAATTGTTACATAAAATCTTAACCCACCCGTGAAAGTGGTTTTTTTCATAAATTATATGTAACTTAAATACATAAGTAAACACATACTGGTCGGTGGCATAAAAATATGCCACCGACCAGTATGTGTTTACTTAGATACACTATTTTACTATATATAACTATTCTAGCTACCTACTTTATTTTTTTTTTAAATGACGAATTTACTTATTAAATATTATTTTTGTTTTTTGTTTGAGGAAAATATATATGTTACATTATAAATTGGCGGTAGGTATATGTTGTTCAGATGAGAAGTTTGGTAGAGAAGACAAAAGTCCTAGTCGTTTAGGTTTTCTATTGGCCTCTCGAGATAACAATATTTTATAATAATTAGTCTCATTTCTCCTTTTTTTTAATATCTCTGTAAGTATATGTGGTAGAAGTTATTTGAAATTGTAGCCATTTTGCAAAGCTTCATTGTTCTAGCTGTTCGGCCGATAAATAGTGGCATAACTCTGTCAATAAAAAAGCATCGGCCCGAGTGCCGCTATTGCACCTCTGGGGGAAACCCCAGCTCGAACTCCGGTGAAAGTACGTCCTTGGCTCACAATCGAATCTCACTCGCGTAACAGTTATAAGATCGAGTCACATATACATTGGACAGTGTAGTATAATGGCTAAAATTGGGTCTTCCGGATGAAAGTAAAGTACTCCAACTTAATAATAGTTGTAGAACTTCGCTGGACAAACATTTGTTTAAAAAACTAGGCAAATGTGGTGATCAGGTTCTTTCTCTTTTCTTTAATATGAGTTCTTTTAATTTAGTTTGGAGATGACTATTTGTTTAAATATAAATGTGTTATACTTTTTTTGGACTCTCCTTGTCACCGGGTCTTCAGTAAAACATAGATATTACATTTAGTTCTACCGGTTTTTACCCCATAGCTAAATATTGTTCGCAAGTGTAATAATCGTTACCCTTGCAAGTTAATACTATTAGCTACGTATTCCCTGGCACGCTTCAAGTTTAAAGGTTTATAAGATAGAAATATAATGCTCTTAATACTATTATTTGTCAAATAATAAAAGAATGAGTAACACCAATCTAATTTCATACAGTAAGACAGGGACAACTGAATTTACTAACAAAATTTGGAATTAGAAGTTACGTACAGCCTAAACTTTAATCCTGCGTTTGGTGAACCGAGTACGACCGCTCGGATCAGCCCAAGCTGGGAACTAATCTTTATATCGTAGTGGCCCTAATAAAATAAATTCGCGGGCGGTCTATCGAGATGCCATTGCAATAAACTATATTCTAGAAAAGGTTCAGTTGTCATTTACTCAAAGTTTATACAATGGCCAGTGTCAAAACAATGACTTAAAAACGCTGGACTTTTGGCAGGCCAGTTAGCTATAATAAATGATAGACTTGGGACTCGCTAATGTTCCGCGCGCTAGAGGGTCGTTCATGATAAGTTCGTTTCATATTACGTTGCCATCTCCTCCCTTTTCTACAGTTGAGGCGATTACGAAGGCGGATCCGGTGTACGCGGGCGTAGACGCGATGTCGCGGCCACCCGCATCGCTGGGGGCGCAGCCCTATGTGAGGATCGTCGAGCAGCCGGCCAGCAAAGCCCTCAGGTAAAATTAGTCATTTTTTGTGAAGTTTCTTACTAGTATAAATAAGAAAGTGTAATCAATTATATATTAGGTTTTCTCGGTGGAGTCTTTACTTATCTTAAACGGATTTTGCCACCTAAACGAGCTATCGGTATCAAGTATACTGTTATAACCGCCATCTCTTAAAATAATTTCTGGCTCCTTTCGATGAATGGTGAAAAGCTCGTATAACAAAGAACCGGAAACAGAACCCAACACGAGTCGATCACAAATTTAAACCCTATTCAAGACTTGCCCTTTTCTGTAATTAGAATACGCGTGCAATTTTTTAAATACGTCTTCGTCACATACTTTGATGGTGGTATTAGATTGACTTACTCAATAAGTAAGAACAAAGACGTTTCTCATACGAGCTGAACGGGTGCGAAATGAAACAGATTTGGCAAGATGTGAAAGCACGTGTCCAGAGAATGAACACTCGTTACAAAGTGTTCTATGCTCGTTTTTAGAGATTTATTTATTTATTAGATTCACCAACATTCTTACAACTAAATACTTAACCTAAGATACATGTTTAAGGGGACACAATAGGTTGTGAAGAACAATTATAGGTGAATACGGCAAGTAAAAACAAATATTATAAGCGTCTAATAATATGAGAAGCGTCTTGTATTTAAACAAAATATAAATAATAAATAATAAAATCAATAAATGACTGAGTAGTGGTATGAAAAAAAATTGTAGCTCTGTTAGTTCTCTCGTAAAACGAAATGTTTAAAATTTTATTGGATACAAATATTATTTATGAAAGAGGTAATTTTGCATAATTCTTTCTTAAGCACCTCTTAGACCCATACCTGCAGTCCGATACAAAGTCGCACCGATCACCGATGTCGAGGTACCGCCGCGCGCAGCGAGAACGATTTATAAATACCCGCGCGTGACGTCATCGTCTCGATCTCAGCGCAGTGACGTCAGCGAGAAATGTCCATTGACGTGTGTCTGAAAAGATTTTCGCGGCGGCATTGTGTTGGGGCGAGATGTGGCCATCGCTACTTCCTGGCTAGTTTTTACGACGTTTGCGTTTTTCTTTGTGCTTAGTCGTAGTATATTTTATTGAAAACAAAATAGTATCGCAGACTAAAGACGCACTGCAGGTCTGCTCTCTATTGTATTCAGTCTGAAGAGTATTGAATATGATTCATTTACAAATATTTTCCACAAAAACATTATTACTCTTAAGCACATGGTTTTCGTCCTTGACTCGTTCATACGGCCCTAACTAGTTTGTTTACTAACAGATTTTTGTGGCATTTATCTTAATACGCAGTAATATTTTCAAATTGAAACCGAGTTCAAAAGGTATCCGCTCGTAGCGAAAACAGTAAAGTGCGTCTGTTAACGAACCGTAGGTTTTTCGCGCTTCTAATTTTACTGCGACACATATGTATAGGAATAACATAGATATTATAACCAGAGAAAATAGTGCTCGGCTGTGAATCCGACGTTTTGTACAGCAATTTGTGTAATAACTCGCAATCTGCCCATTGTTTTCCTTAACTGTCGGCTGTATTAATTGATCGGGGCTGCTGGGATTTTCAACCTTATATCTACGGAAAAAGGTCGCGCGACTAAAGGTAGGTAGATCATAGGAATGTAAAGCTCAATGCGGGATAACATTCTACATCTGTTTGTTTAACGTTTACGTAATAATTTCAAACTTTATATGTATTTTGTAGATTTCTCTTTCGTTCGATCTATTTATAAGTTATTATTTCGAAACAAAATTTTAAAATCCCTTACAATTCAAATAGTTCTCAGTGCATAGTCATATATAATATGTAGGTAGGACTGTGTGCTTACTATCTTAAATACTTTGAAACCGATAAAATTTTCTGTAGCCTTCCTTTGCCTAGCTGTAATAAACCGACGGTTTCGATGAGCTATTTTCGGTATCTCTATACCCTGGATATCTATATTTAGTTTTATCGCGTTCGGCTTTGGGCAATCTTTTCCAGTACATTTTTCATAAAATGTGTATCGGAGGGTTTTCACATAGGCCGACTATAGAAAAGCGCTTCTTAGAAGGTACTCGGTGCCTGAATTTAGACATGAGGTACGTACTATGGAGCATTATACGTTCCGCTTCATTGGACTATATATCTTTTTTGTATGTATTGTCTCGACGGTTTGTTGTCACCCGCAAATTTGAAGGCTCATCATGGGGCGAAGGATGTTGCTATGGCCAGTGTTTGGGTGTGTTCTTTATTTTTTTTATTTATCAATCCGTACAGCGCTCTGTTCAGAAATAGTAAATACCTTTTGCAACAAATGTAGGTGTTAAGTTTTCCTTTATTGTACAAGTAAAGTTAATAATAATTAAAACTTATTTTTTCTTATATTATAAAATAAGTATACTATGGAAGCTGAAAAAAAAATAAGATCAGGATTCAGAAACGTGGGTACATTTCATTGTTGCTGTTTAAACATAAAGTTCACGGCCTTGACTCTTGTGCCAAGTAAAGATCAAGATAGGTATGTTTGGTCAAATATTTTTATTGCAATTCTTATAATTATTCAAGTTACAAGTTACTTGTAATTTTAAAATATTTTCTTCAAATAATTCTTCTCCCTTCAGGTTTCGTTATGAATGCGAAGGTCGGTCCGCGGGTTCGATACCCGGCGTGACCAGCACTCCCGAGAAGAAAACTTACCCCACGATAGAGATATGTGGCCACCGGGGACCGGCGATCATCGTTGTCTCCTGCGTGACCAGGGATGAACCATTCAAGTAAGTCCTGTCATATACCCTGTCTAAAGATCTCAGTATTTGTCTAACGTTTTCGAAAAAGTTCCGTTAATTTCTCGCATGCGCAAGCGACGCGCCCGTTTTGTTTAAACACCAAATGAACAAAGTTTAATTCATAGAAAATATGTGTTTATAATACGAAGAACAGAAAATTATTTTATTTATTTTAAGATTGTTGTATGATAAGGGAACTTAAAGTTTATTTGACGAATCGACCCAATATAGCGTTGTCTTCCACGATCCCTAATTTAAAACAATGACATCTATTGGCCAGAGGGCATTAAGTCGTTGTCTAAACCATTGTCTCTTTATTAACTTGCAATAAATTCAAGAAATTAATGCCATTTGACAGTGCAATAATTATGACGAAGCATTGAGGCCGCTACCAACTAGCTGATTCCCTTTTCCTCCTTCAGGGCACACCCCCACAATCTGGTGGGTCGCGATCGTTGCGACAAAGGCGTATGCACGGTGAAGACGAACCTCGCCGAGGACAATCGCATCTCGTTCAGCAATCTAGGAATTCAATGCGTCAAACGGAAAGACATAGCCGAAGCGCTCTCTACCAGGGAGAAACTGCGCGTCGACCCCTTTAAGAGTGAGTATATTGTGATATGATTCTCTTAATGTCCCACAGCTGGGACAAGTCATTCGCGAAAACGTGGATGCTTTTGTGACACCGCCAACTATGATTAACTTTTTTTAAGCGTATTGTGCTAAGGTACGAGTGGGTGATGAATCATCTTACTTTAAAACTATGGGAATTAGAAACACTCTATTCAAATACCCACGACATCTGCAGTCCGGTTGACTAACCACTAGACCGACGACACATAAACACGACTCCAATAATGGCAGCTAATAACTCAGTACGATCAAACAAACCAATTTATATCGTCGAAACCCGTTCGGTTAACAGCTAAACGCTAAACAGATCAGCACTATTGTTAGCTTTACGGCGCGTTCGTAGATTCTCACTAAAGTTTCCTCTCCAAACGCATTAACTATTATTTGCGCAAGCTTATGTTCCGTTGAACATACATTATTATATATTTTGGTGTATTACTAGTGCGGGTCTCAAAGTAACGGGCACAGTGCCACGGTAGCTCAATTTGTATGCTCTTTTGTTAAGTAATAAAGGTAAAGGAAGAGAGTAACCTCACCCGCAACGCGAAAAGTGGCCTTAATAAAAATCAAGATTTACGACTGAAATAATCTTCCGGATAATTGCACGATCCACGTTTACTCGCGGAACGTTATATATGCTAGTTTGAATTCAATTATCATACGAATGTAAGGAAAGTGAACTATTGCCTAAAAGGTTTGGATTCGCATGAATTGCATGGCATTTACGAAAGTAGAATTCGTCTCGACCGTTTTCGTAATTCAGAGGAAATGATAAATGGTTAGAGTCGAGTAAAGCTCAGAATTGTGATCGACCGCTTGCCAGCAACTCTTCCGTCTTCAATGTTTGTTAGGTATACTTTAGATTTGTGAGACAAATAAATTATTTTAAATGTTAAGCGCAGTTTCGTTGCAACAAAATTTTATTATAAACGCGGCTTTTTTATCGTACCTCATATAATACAATGTATGCTTTCAACAATGTTAGACTATACGTTTTAGCATTTGTTTTTAGTTCTACAACGCACACAATCAATTGTAAACAAATGTTTCCCGTGCGGTGAAATTAATGAAAATCATTTTCGTCAAGAGCACCGACTCGCGATGATTCATTCGCTATTTTACAAGCTGAGATTAGTTAATCGTTTGCGGCCGAGCGAGTTTACGCGCGATGATGCTTCGGTTGTTCATAGTCTTTAATTAGATTTGGAGCTGCGGCGTGGAGTACTCTAGCCTCAAGGAGTTCTACAGTATTGATTGTTTCGGGCTTAAGGGACTGGACTTGCACAATTCTTGCTTTTTTATGATACAGGAGAAAAAAGCTCAGTTGATGGATGTTGAAGTACCCTAGCCCTATAACAACTTAACAAGATGTCGACCTATCCAACATGTTTCAGAAAAAAAATATAAATTGATTAGAAAAATGTTGACCCGGTGGGAATCTTAGCTGTACATCGTTATATTTTCTTATGTCTTTGCCTTGTTTATATATTTGTTTTTGTTTATTATTTATTCCGTATTTGTCACAGTTGTTTTAAAGTAACTGAAGGTATAAGTTAGAGCATATAGAGATATTACGAAATGTATCGCCGTTCCCGAATCCCAACAGCCGCAAATAGACACGACTAAATATTCCCTGCGCCCAAAACCCGGTCACACACACACACGTATGTACACACCATTGTTACATGGATATCACAAGTAAACTTCCATTCAGATTAGTTCTATCGATGATGATCGAAAAAATAGTTATAAATTATATATTTAAAGATTTGTTTTTGTATCTAAAAGCCAGTTAAGTTCTATGAAATTCAATAGATTAATGAAAAATCATAGTGCAAGTACTTTATTGACTAAGTTACTTTTATTATTAAAACGTAATGATGACATATATGGAGACGTTAACTGTGCAAAGAATTTAACAAATGAACCGTTAATATTTTTTGTCATTTGGCACTCATTCCTCCTCCACCTCCTCGCAAGACACGGCTTCGTTAAAAATAACGCTATGAACGCAGTTTACATAGTCTTTTTGTATAGTTAACGGAAAAATTCGAACAGATGCGCTTTATTTACATTTTCAATAATGTATAACATATTGGATAGTGTTACGAGATTTATCAAACATTTGTGTCGAATTGATACTTTGATTGATGCTAAATATATAAATACATCTACTCTTAGAACAGGTAAATGATAAAGACGCGTACAAAGGAATATTTTGCTTCTAAACCTAGATCTATGTATCGTTATTGCTACACGAATTGAGGCTTAGGCCTAAAACTTTCTATAAGATCAAACAACCCCAGTCGAAACGATCGCTGGATATAATATTCCATTTCTTATTATTATTGTGAATCCGCAGCCGGCTACAGCCATCGGAACCAGCCGCAGACGATAGACTTGAACGCGGTGCGGCTCTGCTTCCAAGTGTTCATCCCGGACGAGCGCACGGGCAAGATCCGGCACTCGCTGGCGCCCGTCGTCTCCGACATCATCTTCGACAAGAAGGCCATGAGCGACCTCGTCATCATGCGCCTCAGCCACTGCTCGGCGCCTCCGCAGGGCGGCCTCGAGATGTTCTTGCTCTGCGAAAAGGTATTGTTCACATTTCCTACATGTTGTTTTAGTAATAGGAGTTCCCAGTTGGTGATTTGTAAAATAATAATCCAATATAAAAAGTTTTTACACGACAGTCCACAATTATGCGTTGTATAACAAAGAGGCGCGAGGTGCGGAGTGTGTTCTGGACGCTTGAAGAAGTGCTTGTTGTTACGCCTGTGGCTGCATGTGAACTGTGTCTTCTTACTCGATGCCTGGACTTACATATTCGTAGCAGCGATACCGATGGCACAAGAGCGGCGCCTGAGCTGACATGAACTGCCTTTGCTAAGCAGCTTGCTTTGTATGGCGCCGTCGCTAAAGCAGTTGCTCATACTAATCGGCTGTGCATGCTTTTTTGTTTTAATTGCAATGTTTTCCTTATTTTCAGGTGGTCCGGGAAGACGTGGCCGTGGTATTTTTCCAGAAGGACGGCGATATGATCGTGTGGGAGGAGAACGCAAACATTCTGCTGGTGCACAAGCAGTATGCGATCGCCTTCAACGTGCCGCCTTATAGGAACCAGACCAGCTCGCATCACGTGCAGGTTCCAACTCAGTCTTATTATGCCATAAGAACATCAGGTTTACTTGAAGAACATTACATAGCCATCCAATTAATATGCTCTGTACACTGCAGTCACTGTCACATTCTCGAAACCATAAACCAAAACCAAAATGTAATTCCAATCTGTGTGCCGTAGCCCAGACGCAAAACTTAATATTCTTACTCGTTATGTTATGTCTAGATTATCTAGACAGGATCTCACATGTTTAAATATTCGGGAAAATATTTACAAAAATAAATATGCATTACAATTTAAACCACATTAAACGGACGGCGATTAACCTTTAGGCAAAAGTTATCTCGGAGTGTACGGTCAATGCGTTCAGGACGCAGCCGTTGGCAGTGCGCCATCTTTTGTGATGTGAAAATGTCTCACCAATAATAAAAAACAATTGAATAGGTTTTTCTATTTGATAAATGTAATAAAAATGTAACCGATCGTCTCTACGCCTATGATAAAAATATTATAGGAGACCTTTATCAACGCAATACAACGAAACAATTATTTTTGGAATTCCTTTTGGATTTTCACTGCGTTTGGGCTCGCTAATCTCAGAAACAGCTCTTCTGATCTAGATTTGGTTTACAGTAATATATTATGGTAAGGTCTTTTACCATTTAGTGTTTGGTTCACGTCAATCAGTTGATAAATAAAAAAGTGATGCTAATTTAAAGAATCAACGGCGCACCACATTAGATAAACTGCATTTATTAATGAAATAAATATATGTAACCTTTTTTATTTGTTTAGATCTGAAAGTATATACTTATTATTTTGTCTGTCACTTATAAGTATGAATGAAACATTGTGCATATAGAGTCAATCATAATTATATGTCTAATATCTTGGCATAGATTACAAAGAGACTTCTCATTTCTAAATATAACCGTCTAGACATCGACAAGAAAATTGTATTCGAAGATTAAAGTAAGTATTACGATTTTGAAGGAAAAACCTTGGCACCGTTTGCAAATTATGAATCACTATACTCACTATCATCATTTCCTTATAATTAGGTGCCTAACTCAAAAAATATTACTGAAGTTAGTTTGTACATAGCACCGGCTGCATACTGCCCTTTAAAAAACCAAATTCGCGTAAAGAATAACATTTTAATGTAATTATAATTGTTTTTCAGGTTTACATCCAACTAAAGAGGATCTCAGACAACGCTCGGAGCAATCCCGTGCCCTTCGAGTACATCCCCGACTTCCAAGGTATTCCGGCTGCGAGAAAACCGCTGCCAGACCTCGCCGCTATCGCTGCGTTGCTTCACAAACCCGACGGAAACAATAACACCAACACACAAGACACAAACACACACACAGAACACACCGACTCGCCGCAAGTCACTTCCACTTCTGACGTCATCGACGACGTGAGCGGCATCGAGAATGGCATCGGCGACGTCGAAAATATCGACATCGATGACGGTGACGTCATCGATTGCGATATCGACGAACCGCACACGAACGGCGTTCTAGACAACGAACGAAGCCTCAACGACTTGCTGGAACAGGTGGCCGAACTCGACGAAATATATTCCGAGAATCGAACGCGACTCGAAAACATCACTATCGTTAACGACGCGGAGGACGTCGACGTCGATGTCGACGATTTCAACGACGCGGGGACCTACACTAGCCTACAGTTAGCGTTTAAAAATCCCGTTACCATCGCCGAGCCGGAACCGTATGAAGATGTGCAAGTGCAAACGTTCCGCGGTCCGATTATCGAATTCACGCCACTCAAAGGGGGCGACGACGACGAGAGGGCGCCGCCGCTCCCGCCCAAACGGGTTCGAAAGAATTCCGACGCGTTCAAAACCAGTCAGACATCTGTCAATAGCATATTGAAACCGGGGCGCAAATTACCCGTCACGCGAAACCCGGACATGCTATCGCCGCGCGGAGAGTTGACGGTCGCGAAGAGTGAACCTGCGTTACCGCCGCCGCCCAAAAAGCGTTCTTTCTTCTCTCGTCTTTTCCGTCGCAAAGAGAAATCTCCCGCGCCCAGCGTGAAGTCTGAGGGTCAGAAGGAAGTCAAGAGCAAACCGGTCGGTCGCTCTGTTAGTTCCGTGTCAGGAATCCGTCCCTCCAAATTCAAATCGGCGGTATCTCATACGTCTCTCAAAGACAACGCGTCCGCTACGGGTTTGAGTTACGCGGATAGTGTCACCCACATCTCGCTTCACGAGGATATGGACGATAAGTCTTCGCAGAGGTCGCTCAAGCGCCCGGCCAGCTTAGCGCCTCTGCCGCCCACGGACGGTGGCACCATCCTAGTGGCCGAGAGCGTGTTGGCGTTGGACGCGTCCGCGTTTAAAAAACTGCAGGACGACCTGGACCTCACAGAGGCGGAACACTACGCGTTGTATATGGCGGTCGCTCCGCACGCGACCGCCTCGGAATTTGACGAGACCAGTTGCTATTATTCGCCGGTAGATGGCAGTAAATTTCAAAATCAATAAGCCCTCTTATTTTATACGGTCTTATAAGATCACTTTGACCCACCCGAGCTAATGTTAAAAGGCGTTTATTTATTAGAAACAGAGTAATGTAGTCCGCCCTTTTAGCCAAATTTTATATGTTTTTACATCTGCGCAATGCGTATTAGGATACGAAAAGCCTGTTGTGTAGTAAATGAGTGAAAATTTGTTGGTTTTTTTACAAACTGACACTATTTTCGTTGCGTACGAGACGAAGTCTCTGAAAATTGTTATATTATTTATTTGTATTGGCGATACCGTTTTGTTGATTTTCATACTGTTTAAAGTTATGAATCTCTTCGTATTATCTTTCTACACACAAACATTTACAACACCAAACAACACATACTCAATCTAGTCCTTTCGAGTCATCGTTATTTATTAGATTGCATTGATATTAATATTTTTTTACTATTCTAGATTCGAGTTATTTAAAACATAAGAGACAGAAAACCTTAAACCCTCTGCATCAATATGATGACAGTAAGTTACCAATGTGTATTTTCAGGTTAATTTTAAGTTAAAATTACAATTTATATTGGTGCGTTCATTTGGTTACGGGATATCTTTAATATTGTATTCTGATTCTGAAGATATATAGTAAATATAGAAGCAACAATGCTGTGCCACGTAAAAACCAGCCCGTCCTTACTTTATTTACACAATGTTTCAAGTTAATGTTTAGAAATGCTGTCCTAGCAGTACTCAATTTATTTACGACACATTGAATGCGATCTTAAAGATATAAATAAATAAGAACGCCTTAAACTACCCAATCAGTTTTAGAAATAAGTTTTACAATGTCTACTTAGTTAATTTATTGTTACATGTTTTATTTACAAAATAATTTATTTATTAGATTCGTTCGTAAAAAGTAATACCACTAGTTCTTTTATATATTAGAAGTAATAGAAAGTTACTAACGACCGTCTTCGTTAAATATATCTCATTTTTGCCCTTAATGTCATTACAATATGTCAAACATTTCAGTTACGATTACTTTATACAAATGCTAATGTGCATATGTGTGCTTAACTTGGAAACTTCATGTACTAGTCTTTAAATAGTTTTAATTTTTAAATTATGATTGTACGCGCTAACCGCTGTATCGAAAACGATGAGATTTGTCTGTTTTATAGTTTTAGACGTGTGCATTTCGTAAATTATCAAATAGTTTGGTCACATTATTGTAATTGAGGTATTTTTAAGACTCGGTGTAGTTTTGAGAGGATTTTATATTCGAGAGTTTTGAACGGTAGCCTAGTTGCGTCGAATATTCATTGTTCTGCGCACTAAAGTTCTAAAAGAGCGTCATATCTTTGAGAATGTTTTAAAAATACGTCTGAAAGGAGGAGTCTATATCGCGTCAAATTATAATAATAGATAGTCTATAATAAATAAGCGATGAAGAGGTATAGTTTATCCAATTATAAATATATCAAATTATTATATTGAACTATGGAGAGTAAATCCTTGAAAATCTGACTTCTAAAATGCATGTGGTCCCGAAACATTTGTTATAATTTGCGACTAAACTGGATATAAACTTGGGATGTCCGTTGTATCATTCAGGTCCGCTTGTTAAAAGGTGATAAAAATCGAATAGTCTATTGGACATAATATATACTAGCGTGCTAATATTACAAACAGAAGCTAATTTTATAAGATGAAATTTTTACATAGTGTATCGCCGTTTTTAACGAATCGATAAAACATAGTCAGGCCCGAGTAAACAGTGTTTATATAGCTTGGAATAATGTCAGTATGCTAATAAAATGTATACCTTGTACCGGTTCTTTTCTATGTAACCGCCCAATGTTGCCAGATGCAAAGGTACGGAGTGGTCAATAATCGTTCGGCATGTTAGTGTTCTCTTGTGTTCCTTTTTTTTGCCACACATATACATATTAGCAGTGTTTGCATGTTTGTTATTTTTTCTTTGCATGTTTTTTCTGTAGTTATAGTGTATTTCTTATCATTTTTAGTAATATTATAGAATAATGGATACGTTATTTGTATATTATTTTTTTACATAAATGGGCATTATGGAAAACATATCCATAATATAATATTACTGGAATAGTTATTTCTTATTGTTTTGATTGCTAGTAGAAAAACGAATCGTTGGCTATGTATATATCTATAAGCAGAAGCAAGTAGTGTCTATAGTTTGTTCAAACATTAAAACGCCGCGCCAGATTTCCATTAAATAATTACACTATTTTACGAGACTCCTAACGCAATATTTTTGCTTCTCAACCATTTGACCCGATTTGATTTCATTTGACTAATGAAAAACTATTTTTGGAAGTGTGACGCGGTTGCTGGTTTATTAACAATGTAATTTTTATATTTAACTTTTTTTGGTTTGTATTAATTGCTAAACTCTGTGATATGTAAATTGTTTATGGATTTATTAACGGTGTTTTATTTTACAGGAAACTATGCAGATCAACAAATCAAATCGGAACCCAGAGGTACGTATTTTTTTATTTAATTTATTTTTTTTATTAAAACCTTGTTTTATTTAAGTGGCTTAAAAGTACAACGAATCATGAATTATTTATTTTCGATTACAGACAAAACACCTCCCCATCAGATGAACAGTCCGCAATATGCCGTTCAGGAGAATTACCAGGTGCTGCATTTATTATTCCTGCTTACATGATTATTATTAATGCTGTAGTCTACAACACTAGTCTATTTTGTCTTAAAATTAAGAAATAGATTGTGATTCGGTATTCGGTAGAGCATAGAATAGCCTGATCTGCAAATACATTTTTGTTACGTCGATATTGTAATGTTTATTATATTGCCTCTTTTCCTGTGTACATACACAGGAAACAATTGGCTTATTTTAATAGCGAATAATTGTGTTTACAGCACTGGAACATACAAAACATCCCAAACGTCCTCGAACCAAATATGATGGCCGGTTCGTACCAGCAAGAGATGCAGTGGGGCCAGAACTACGTCCAGCTCTCGCCCAGCGAACCCTCCATGTCCCCCAACATGATGTCGCCGATGCACGTGGGCGCAGCCATGTCGCCCGTGGGCCGCGTCTCGCCCATGTCACATACTTCCATGGGACAAGTGATGACTCCCATGGGGAAAATCTCCCCGATGCACGGCGCCATCTCTCCCAATATGGTCCAAATGGCTCCGATTGGGCACGTGTCTCCGAACCCGGGGCATATGGCGCAGAATATCGTGCAACCTCAGCAGGTAAGTTAAGAAAAGTCATTTTGTAACAGAAAATAAGAAAATTCTAACGAATCTATGGTAAAGTTACGGTCCAGTAGCAGATATCGATCCAGAAATTAGTTCAATACTTTTTCACAGCAATTACCTCAACAAGATCTGATGGACGGCGTAAGTGACACGCCGTCCCTGTCCGTCCTGCTGGACGAACGCGGTGAGTTGGGCCAGTTCAACTCTGGAGACCTGTCCGGGCTCGTGTCCATGCTGGGACGGGGACAGGACCTCAGCGACAGCCTCAACAGACTCTCCACTAACGAGCTGTATAGGGCCTAAGTGGTTTTGTGAAATCGTACTTTATTGTGATTTTAATGGCAAGTGTTATTATATGGACTCAGTTCTTACGACAATTGCAAGGCGTATAAGTCTTGACGAAGATGAAAAGCGAGTCAAGGTTATGGAATTACTTCTGCGTAAAGTTTTATAGTATCAAAATGCTCTAAGTGATGTTGTTTACCGGTTACAATAGAAGCTGCATTAGCTATAAAGACTGCTTTTTGACACAAAATGGGTAGCGAGGAGGTGCCACCGTTATTGATGTATTGATTAAAAATATATACATGTGGTGTTACTAAATATGACGGAGTATTCTCATAAACGAGAATAAACGACTTGAGATGCATGTTAAAATAATTCGTAACTATAGTCACTTATAATTCAATTTTAATCACAAAGTCACTTAATGACAGGTTTAGGTGTAGCACTTATTGTGAGCTAGATTTTTTAATTAGTGTTTAAAATATGTAATAATTCTTACAAATATTTTACATCACACAACAAAAGAACACCAATGGCGCTGTAAGAATTTTTAATGACTGATCAGATATTTAATACGGCACAGACTGACACAGCACAGACTTTATTAGAGCCTATCAATGTTTAATTTCAATGTTAGTTATCACCAAATAAAAATGTATTGCTCTAATCAATTTTCTGTCTGTTGGGGACAGTGAATAAACGCCTGGTGATCAGTCCACACAAACTGCACATCATACGACCCTGTTCTTACATAATACAAATAACAATATTGTTTTGACCTTAGTATACAATGCTGAACCTAAGTAAATACACACATAGTAAGGAAAAGCTTTGAAACAGAATTTAATAATTGTGTTGTATTTAATTATCCCAATAAATGTAAGTTGAATGTCACATAATATGAAGAAAGAAGAAAAAGATTAATAGAACAAAGTTTTACATGACAGCTCTTAGATTTAATTTTAATTTTTTTTTTCAATTTGATTTTGTAAATACAAGAAGTGGTACAAGTCCAAGTATAGTTGTTTTTTACGTATTTTCAAAATGGAGTCTGGACAGTAATTTGTCGCCATAACAAAGTTGAAATATCTGTGTGCTATTTGTAATTTTTATCTTTTATTCAATACCATCTCTATTAACGTAGAAATGACTATTGACTACAATTTAACGATACAAAACGTGTATACACGGTTTTAGAAACAAACTGTTTACTTATAAAAATCAACTATCCTTACCAACTTGACTGGCATAGATTTTTTCTGTTCTAATGCTTATGTTTGGCTATCATCTTGAATCTAGATCTCTAACAGCTATGTGTGGATTTAACATAATGTTCTGTACAATTCGGCAAATGTAATAGATCGTAATGGGAAGCATAATTGTTAATGTTAGTTTTATTACTAGCTTAAGTGCAATAAATCGAGATAAACTCACATAAAATGTGAGCGTTAAATGAATTTTTATTCTTAAAAAGAAAATAATTGTCAGTAGACTTTGGAGTTTTATTTCTAATTCTTATTTTGAAAAAAAAAAGCATAATAATTCACAGTTTTACATCTTATCCTGGTGCTGAAAACTTGAAAATTGCTTTGTCACAAAATTAGTGTTACGTAAAAATCGATAGAGGGCGGTAGTAAATTCAAGTCTGTGGAAGATAATCAATGCTTAGTAATGTATAGTCTACAGTTGCATTTGTTTCTTAACACATAACAATTGACATTTTAACAACCAAAGTTAGTTCTTCTTGCCACAAATGAAGAAAAAAACAATTGAGAAACATTATTCGAATTTAGCCAAACAAAATACAGTTTAGCATACAAAAAGGAGAAAATTGATTAATTGTAAACAATACTAATCTTGGCTAAAATAATTTATGTATATTAACCTGACTGACTATAATTCTTAATCTTTGTTTTGAAATCGTTAATTGAAAATGGCTGGAGAAGTTGTTGTGGACGCTTTGCCATATATTGACCAAGGTTATGATGATCCTGGAGTTAGGGAGGCGGTAAATATTGCATAATTTGAGTTTTATTTAGCGAAAAGAATTCAGATTATACTTAAAATAATATATACAGGCTCTTGCTATGGTCGAAGAGGAATGTCGGAGGTATAGACCTACAAAGAATTACCTAGAAAATGCCGGCCCAGAACCAAGCACAGCCTTTGAAACACCAGCTTTGCAGAGAGAAATGGAGCGTGTGCAACAACGACTACCAATTGAACCTTTGTCTATGAAAAGGTAACCAATATCATTACCATTAGTTTAAATAATTTAATTAAATATTAGTTGGAAACATTCCTACCTCTCAGCAAGAAAAGGAAGTGTTTGGAAGCTGGAATGGGATTTGACAATGTATTGTAAAGATCTCTGCCTGGACTTCTTTGTTTATTTAGAGCCTTTTATTAGAGAAAGGTTGATGGTGCATATTACAGCTTGCTCTTCTTAGTTCTCTTTATTTGTACAAATGTTTATAAAAAAATATATTTCAGATATGAATTACCACCGCCGCCAGCTGGGAGACTTGGTGAGCCAACAGCTTGGACAGAGGCAGTTGACAACTCACATGCTCAGTTGTCGCATCAAGCCATTCGGGTTCTTAACTTAGAACTACAGCTAGAATATAGTTCTGAAGCTTGGAGATCCTACCTTAGTATCTTACAAGCCTTGGTGGAACGTTCACAAAATGTCCATACACAATTGAGGTTTGTACTTAAAAAATAAGTTGTACTTAATAATTAGAAAATTTAAGGCCACGGTAAACAAAGGAAAATCATACATGTGCAATGCATGTTTGCATAGTATGGTACAGCTTATCCAAAATATTAATATCAGATTAATGATTTGCTACTGCTAATTTGATTTTGTTTTTCAGAAAACAAATAGCCACAGTAAATTGGGAGCGTAAACGTTCTCAGACAGCAAGTGGAGCTCGCCTTCGTGCACTACGCAGACGTTGGGCACAACTTGTGTCCGATAATTACAGACTTGAAAGAGCTATTATGCAGCTTGAAATACAACTTGAAAAGGTGACTAAAAAAACTTAATTATCTATTATACAAAATTTTAATGGCTGATGTTTAAATCTCTTGTGATGTGGCTGTTTTAGGCAAAAAGCCAGGCATCCATTGAAGGTAGTGATGCACCAGACATGGATCTCGAAGCAGTCAAAAACCTTCCAGACAAACTCAATTCTGAGACTGAAAAGGAAGTACAGAAGAAGATTGAAGACATGTTTGCTGATTAAACCATGTTGTATAAATTATTTTCTTAAGTAAATAAATATTTTTAGGAACACAGCCTCTTTTAAAGTAACTCCTAGAATACCATATCTGTTAATCTATTCGGCACAATCCATTACGAAAATTTATTGAAAACTTCGAACATCCGTTTCGAGATCTGTGACACATCGATTGTTTTGCGATTTTCAATTGTCAATATATCTGTTATCTGTCAAAGTTTATTTTCATCCCTCATTCATAATATTTTTGAAAATGGCGGATGATGCATCGAGCAGCAGCGCTTGTACCGGCAATTTAGTTGATAACTCAATTAATCAGGATGAGTTGATTATGAAGCAGCAACGCGAGATCGAGAAAGAGGTATAAGTTCTTTTTGTAGCCTCGGATGCCTATTTAGAGGATCTTGAAGGAAAACATCTCGATATCTTTTTTGTGTTTATTTTGCAGATTTCAGAATCTATTCCATTAGTCGGTGACTTGGAAGAATTGGCGTCTTTAGAAAAGGAATATAATGAAGACCCAGTATACCTATTGAAAATTAAAGATTTAGCTTCAAAATACAAATGCATCAGAAGAACAAGACCGGACGGTAACTGCTTTTTCAGGGCCTTTTCATATGCATATTTAGAACATCTTCTCAATGATAAAGATGAGTATGAGAAATTCCACGAGATAGCAAAAAACTCTAAGGATATTTTGGTCGCGTTAGGATTTCCGCAATTTACTGTTGAAGATTTCTATGAAACTGTAAGTACCTTAATTATTTAAAGGTTATGTTTTGTTTGTCATCATCTCATCTTCTATTGTGCAAATAGTCTAAATTATTATTTAAACAGATGAGAAACGTGAGTATAACATCTTTTGTAATCATACTCGGTTTTTGCTTGCAAATGATTGTATATCTATCAAAGAATACCATCAATATATTGTTATTGTTGTTTACAATAAAATTATATATTAATTATGAGGGTTTATATTTAATGAAAAATGTAACATCTTACCTTCTCTTCGTCTTGATTTGTTTTTCTATCATATATTGAGTTTTTATGCCGTTAAGGTAATCCAATTATCGAGCTGAATTCATATGGATTCATAATAATTCAAGTATATTTATTCTTTTGTTTTAGTTTATGGAAGTTGTGCAGAGAGTAGGTGAGCAAGCTGGTGGTAGTCCCGAAGCAATAGAGGGTGTCCGCACAGAGCTCCATGAGAAGTTCAATAAGCAGGGATATTCAGACTACATAGTTGTATATCTACGACTTATTACCTCAGGGCAACTGCAAACACAGCATGACTTCTATCAAAACTTTATTGAAGGACCCCGCACTGTGACAGAATTTTGTAGACAGGTACAAACATAAATTCAGTATTCATCATGAACATTTAATTAACTGCTTCTTATTACTATTTTCTTTTTCAGGAGGTCGAGCCAATGTATAAAGAATCCGACCATATTCATATTATAGCCCTTAGTAATGCCCTTAATGTTGGTGTTAGAGTAAAGTATATGGATCGTGGGGAAGGAAGTCAGGTACCACAATAAAGGATAATTTTCAGAATAGTTTTTAAATAAAATGTTTTTAAAAATAAAGCTAATTGGTGACTTGCTTTTTCAGGTTATTGCTCATGACTTCCCTGAAGGCTCAAAAGCCATAGTTCATCTGCTATACAGGCCTGGTCATTATGACATTCTGTATGCGTGATCACATCATTTTGCTTACAATAAATATTACTTCTATTTCTATATTCTTTTATTGAACCAAATATGCCTTTGGAATATCAATTGCAGTATGTTAAAATAATTTCCGCAACAAAAATAACATTTTAATTACGTGCATTTTGATAAGTTTACGTATTAAACAATACAAACTAAGACGAATAATGACTAATTAATAGTGAATACAATAAAAGTTAATGTGAGGATGCTTAAAAACAAAATAAATAGAAAGTTACGAAATTATCGACAAAAGTACACGCCATCTGGCTCACGTTTGGGTTTCATGCCAGCAAAGAATGCCTTGATATCCTCTTCCTTGACCACTTCCCCTCTGTCTTTAAAACTTTTCAGGAAATCTAACAATTTGTCTCTCATCTTGTTGTACTCTGTCAAAGCATTGATCTGCTGGATTCTATCTAGTGAAGATAAGGCGGCTAACCCCTTTTCATACTCTGATGCCGGTTTACCATTGCTTCTTTCTTTGCCCAACTTTTCATAAGCACTTACAGTGTCTTCGAGATCTATCAAGAATAATACTGACAAGTCTTTGTACATGGCCAAACATTCACCGCAAGTGCAAAGGTTCTGCCTAAAACATGAAGGCCAAAAGGTAGCACCTTTGTATTTTCGTTTCGTTTCATTCGGTTTTACACATGTCTTTGATTCCAATTTGAGTTTTTTTGATTCTGTGCCACCATCTAACTCTTCCGCAGACAACTTTCTCTTTATATCTGGTTTTTCAATGTCTTCATTAATAACTTTGTGTTGTTCTATTTTGCTTTTAGTATCAACATGTTCATTTATAGTACTCTCACTGTTGGTAATATCTGTCGAATTATCCACGTTTTGAGATGACTCAGTATCTTTACTTGCTTCTATTACTGATTTTTCTTCCAAAGGTTTGTTTGCATTTGTTTCCTCATTGTTGCATTTCTCTTTTTCATCAAACCTACTTTCAAAACTGTGTGTATTTATTTTTTCTCTCTGAGGGACATCCTCTACATCATTTGAGTTGTTCGGTTTAGTGTCAATATTTTCAGTGGATTTATCAGTTGCATCATCACTATTGCTTACTATACATTTATCACTAGTTAATTCACTTTTAGTCTCGACAGATAACTCTACAGACTTGTTTGGTATATTTATACTACTAATTATTTTATCATTTTCACATGATTCCACACCTTTATTCTCTGAAGCTGCAGTAATATTGTCAGCTGACATTTGTTCAGCTATGTTTTCTTGTTCATTGTATGTTATATTTTGTTCAATATCTGGTTTATTAGTCTCTAATGGACAGTTCTGAACTAAATCACCTATCATTTCTCTCTCTTTGCTTTCATCTAGAATGTGGCCTGATTCAGATTGAGGACTTTCATTGTCACAAGGCTTTTGGTCTAACACCATTTCATTGTTGGTAACTTCATTGACTTTTTCATTTAGACTTTGGTCATCTTTTTGTACCTCTACTAACAACGAAGCAGTGACGGGTGCAGTAGTTTCTACATCAGATACTATTTGTGTGATATTAACAGCTTCTTTGACTTTAGTATTTTCAGGAATATTAAGTGATAAATTATTTTCATTACTTGTGATTTCATTATGTTCAGCCTCTATTTGGCTTTTCATCACTGCTTTTTCACTTTGACTATTGGATATTTCTAAGGTGTTAATATTTCCATCTCCAATACTATCAGTAAAACCATTAACTGAAATATTGACAACATCTATAACATCATTTCCATTAACAATAAGATCACTGTAATTATGTAGGAATTCATTCCGCTGCATGCAAGTTTTACAAATCATTTCAGCATATTGATCACTATCAGGAACTGTAGCATCAAGATGGTCAGAATGGAGCCAATCTTCACAAATGATGCATTGAATCATTTCATCTTCCTCAGTAACATCTGGATCAGGGTAAGGTCTATGGCAGATACAGTAGAGACCAGAAAAATTTTGATTGTATGTGTTTTCTTCATTTAAATCTGATTTATTTGATATAAATTGACAAGGGTGGGAATTAAATTTAGGGTTACCACAATCACATCGAAAGTTTCTCTTGGTATAAAGTTCTACTAATTCATGATCCTCGTGGCATTTGAGGCTACATGCCAAGCAGATTGCAGCTCTCTTGCTAGGATCTTCTTTGGCATCAACACAGCAAGTCAGGCAAGCATATAGGGCTTGACGCTTTATATAACCCTGTAATTATAGAAATAATCTCGTAGAAAAACTTAAAAATGTTGTTCTGTTATATTCTTTTCAAATGAAGTTTGATTGTTTAACAACTTCCTATTAAGGAAAGAAATTGGTCTGTTGTTATAAAACCATAAAAGACAAAAAAAATCATATTTAGTTATACTTACCATAGGGTACGTGCAATTTTTATCATCTGAGGCTCCAAGCACAGCATTTGCGTCTTCTTCAAAATCTTCCTGTTCCTGAAGAACGTCCATCATGGTAACGACCTTCTCGCCGTCGCGATCGATCATTTCTGTGTCTTCTTTATCACCATTAGTGGCCATTTCTGCCAATAAATTCGTTTTAAAACGACGTAAGAACAATGGAAAATGAAAGTGCCGGTTAAAAATATGAATGGCGCGAGATGCGACTTGTCGTGGCGAAGCGACAGATCAAAACCGAAATTAATGATTAATCTTTGAAATCTGACAGCTGACGTCTGATGTATACTGACAGACTAAAAATATCGTCACAACGTGTAAATTGCGTAAATGAGTAAAATTATTATTATTCTGCTGGTCGACTTCTAAATTGCCTAGAACAAGCAACAATAAGAAATAATAACTTGTTTGATTTATTTTTTCTTAGCTAATTAATTTCCTTTCGTATCCTACATCGATTGTTATTTGGTGAAAATGAAGACATTTAGTCGATAATCTTATAACTTTAAATAATAAAAAAAAAACTGTAGATATCACCTCTTTTATTATTTATGTGCATTGCATATCCTACGTTTCCGATTGTGTTGTTGTTGTGTAATTATACACGTTGTGGCTGATGCACAAACAGAGAGTCATAAAGTATGAATTGATGTAAAGATTGCGATCGGCCAATTTCGGTTTAAAGTCCTTACAACTTTTTTGGTAAGCTCCAATCCTCGCAAATACAATAAAGTAACAACACGATAGTGATACAAGCAAATTCTGGTTCACTATAACAGAATGTTACAGCAACGTACGGTTTTAGCACCTATAGAATTTTCATATGTTTTTGTCATGATAACAAAGTAATTTATTGTTTTTCTTAATATAAATAACACTAACTTTAACATCTTTTTTGCCTAGGTATATCTCGTATAAGATAATTAAGAAATAATTAATTATTCGATTACTTACCATAAAGAAAAGTAAAAATTCTGAAGATATTTTTTTAATATATGTATCTCTAAAATTAAATGAGAAACGGTACATCGAAATTCTTTTTCCCATTGCCGATGTATAGAAATCCCGCATCAGGCGTTTTAACTTTGTGAAAGTACGACATTCCGGGCCAATACAAGCTCTTAAGATATGCCACCGTGCCACACTGTTCTAGCGAGAGGTTCCAGCACCCGGATGGAATGTCCTGGTCAATGGAATCTAGAAAATCCATACTGTAGTTGTAATCCTGCCTAGTTAAAAGATTTGAGTTCCAGCGTTGTTGCGCCGGACGGACGTGTAAGTAGGACTTGAGCAGCTTCGCTTCAGGGCCGGTTAGACCGTAAAAGTTAGGATTGATCACGACTGTGCCGTCCGGTTGCTTAATTAGCTGGCCCCTCGCGCATATCTCAGCTTCGTCGCAAATATTGCTAATCGTAGCCGCCAGGCGTTTCTCTTCTTGCATCTCTTGGCACCGATCCGGATGATGCTCTTCCATCGCTTCGTCCAGAACTTTAATCTTTAGGGATGGATCCCCGCGGAACGGAAAAGTGGTTAGTAGAGAGAGCTGTTTATACTTTTTCTTAGGTCTAGCGAGAAGGCCCCAAAACTTGAAATCTGTCGTGTAATAATACTTTCGGTCTGCAATTGCGTCCCTAGTCGTGCCCACGGCTATGTGGTAATCTCCATCTATGGCGTAGATCTGACCCCAGTACTGCATGTGGGTAAAATGGTTCTCTACTTGTAGTACCGTCAGAGAGCTTTGTAAAAGTGATATTAATTCACTTGATAACATGAACCCATTCACATTCACGTATTCCTTGTATGCCCATAGTTTGTGAACGTCCATTATGAAAACACATACATAAACAAACAATTGGATTCTAAAATTATTGTTGTACTCACTTGACAAATAGTATTGACAATAGTTTATTTATGAATAGGGGAGTGAAGTTCGAGGTTTTATTTTACATGCTTACGTAAGAGGTTCCTTATTTCGTACTTAAAATACAAAATACGCATATATTTTAAAAAGTACACATTTATTCTATTTTATTATACAAACGAGGTTATAAAAAAATTCGGGCAATCTGCAAGTACCGGTAGAAGTAAAAACTTGAATTTTATAGATATACGTTTTTGATAGATAGGGTTTAAAAGTACTTATATTACATGCAACAATTATTTATTGGGTTATAGTTATTTTCTACATACCATTCGTCGTACGTTACTTAACATTTAATATAACATAGATGACGCTGTCGCTGCCGAACTTCAAAAAAATAATTAAGTTACTTCGGAAAACCATGAACGGCATTTCAGTATCCACAGACGAATGAATGAAGTACTTTATATAATACTGTCGTTATTTAAAAACGTCGAAAGCCGTAAATAAAATGAAATCCTCCCGTAGGGGCCATCGGCGGGGTAATGTAAGTGGATATTTACTTCTCGTATGACAATTACCGGACGTCAAATATTTGCAAGCCCTCTGTTGATCGTTACTTGTAACCTGAGTAGACGGTGCACTAGTCACGATAAAACTCGGCCGCCATTGACGATGTAGGGGCCGAGGGGTCACGCTATACCGGCCTGAGGTCAGATAACCAAAGCCGCAATTTACTTATTTTCGCAAGATTCGATCGTGTCGTGTAGCTTATTTGTAGGCCCACGGGTGGTGTTACAATGTCGCGTCAATATTGAATAAGAATTTATTAAATATATCGCGTGGACGAACTTGGAAGAAAATACAATACTAATTTTTGATAATGGTCGTACATACTTGCATAATAGTAAACGAAAATAGACGATACCGATTATTTTGTAAGAAAGATTGAAAGTAGGTACTTCTAGCTGAGACCGCTAAAGTATGTATAATGTAAACAAAAATTGCATTCATTCATATATATTAGGAAATAAATTTTCACATTATTTATATTTAAAAAATTACAATAATTGCATTTATTTTTTATTAGCTTATATCTCCCCTACTCGCTCACAGATGGCGCTACTTATTGCCTTTTAAAAGAGTGTAGATAGACTGTAAAAAAGTAAGATGGAATGAAGATGTATATACACATCTTGTATATACACGAATTGCTTTACTACATTAATTGTAATATTTATATATAATAAGGCATATAGACTGAATTACTGTCTTAGTGCAAGGAATGATGAAGTAATAGATATGTACATATATTTAACTTAGGTTGTTTACCCATTAGAATTTAATTTAAACATACGATACGATACTATGTTATATACATTCCCTATTTCTGGGGCATTAGTAACTAAAGCAATACCTGTAAATAAATTTTGCAAGTAAAATAAAAGTATGTATAATAACTTACTTAAAAACGAATATGGTATAAGCTGATAATCGAAGTAGGATGCAATAGTGAGGGTGTAACATAATGAGATTGGACATCATTATCGATCTTAATGCTGAGTGGTGATGTCGGTGTTGTCTATGAACGGTCCCCATCCAAATCGATGGCCCTCGAACGAAGAATATAGAGGCACAGGTGTTAGCTCTCAATGTCACAATTAAAACATCAAGCTATGAAAACAATGGGCGCGTGTCGGCGATTCGGCACGCGCTGCGACCAACGACGTGCCGTGTCGGGAAAATGGAAATCGTCGGTCGCGTCGCCGGGGCTCGGAACCCGTGAGGACCCTTCAGCTGCATCAGATAAACGCGCGGCCGACGCACTGTCAAGTATCGGGCGCACTACTGCGTTCAGGGCCTTTACTGTCTTTACTCTACGTCCTTTTTAAATGACATGCCTTAAATCGAATAATACAAAGGAAAATTCTTAAAAATTAAGCTAGCAAATATGCATAAATGGCATGTGTAATATTTATTAGCTTTTAATTTTTCCGCACCGAAAACACAAAAACACAGCTAAAATACCCACCAACCAATAAGAACACTAGACATTTTTTTTCCAGAGATCTAATTGTGTGATTTTGGAATACCATGCTTACTTATAATAGGAAATAAAAAATCCTATATAGGACTGATCCACTATACTTTTAATAGGAAATAAAAATCTCAGACCCGTAAAGCTATAAAGAGGAATGGTTCTTTTATATTTAAATAACTTGTTGTAATTATTTTACAGCAAAATATGGTAGTTAGACATAAAAAAAACTAATTTTCATCATTTGAGCCTATTTGTTGCAAGAAAATAATTGTGTATCTTTAATCAAACCAATAGTAGTCTGCATTTTAATAAGGCTTTGATGAAATAACTGAATGTATTACTGACACAGCAAAATATAATTTTATTGTATTTAAGAAAAAATCAGGACTACCTTCCCAAATTGATCGAAATAAGTAATACTGTCTGTAGCTAACTCGAGTACTAAAGTGTATTATTTAAACCTTAAATAAGTAAGTATTTTTATAATTTTATGGAAATTTCATATTGTATACGTGATTGAAATAAATTATTTTTCTGATATTATGCCTGATTATCTATAAAATACGGTATATTATTTTCTCGAAAAATTAGAGTGTTATGTAACTATTTTTATAATCGTTTATAGGCAGGAAACAGATATGCGAATTTAATTTTTTTTTTACATGGATCGTAAAATCGATCGAGTCTCGTCCAAAATACCTACCTACTATTATGAGAACATTATGAGTACGTAGACAATGGTGAAAACAAAAGTATGGACTCGTTTGAGAAACAACACGTTCGCCGCAAGTGAGGTGAAAAACGAATGTTTTCATGTGAATATCGAACAAACGTCGATTAGATGAATCGAGACGCAATCGTCGGGCGCACAATGGAATTAATTCGCCATGTGTGTGCCGAAACCGTCAGCTTCTCGTTGTTTAGCGACACCGCGTGTCTGCGAGAGTCGTCAGCCGACTGAGCAATCATAATGTGGCCATCGCGAAACAAAGCGGGGTTCCCACAGCCGCGCCCCGGGGCCTTCCTCGCCGCCCTTCTCTATTTTTCGACGCTAATTGTTTGTTAACGGAGGCAGGACTGCCCCGGGCGCGGATCCACACACAATCCAGATTACACGCTGTTACGTGTTTCACAAGTCATTTGTTAGTTCTTTATGTTTGTCTTTGAGATTATCTCGTTGAAGGGCGCATCGACGAAGTTTCTCTCGGAGTTAAAACTGAGCTCAACAAGCTTGCACGTTGCAACGATAATTCCATTAAAGTAACGGAACTCGCACGCAATTTCATCTTATTGATTTCAAGGAAATTACCCACTATTAGATGATATTGAAATATGGGTTCTCGAGAGAACAACGCTCCGATTGAAATAAAAGCGAATCAACTCCGCCAGATAGAACAGAATTTCACAAACATTAAATGACTCCACGTAATCCGATGAATGGCAGTGAATTCTCACAATTGCGCTCGACGACTTGCAAAATTCGAGTGCACTTTTCCCACAATTAAGTGCGAGAAAAGGAATCGAAGTGGCGATTTCCGAACGAATAGCGCACAAAGGGCGCGGATTTGTGAGTAATCGCAAGTGAGCGCCGCAAACAGGGGTCGCGCCGCGAATCGCGATGCGAGCTATTTGTAAAACATGCGTCCATTGTGCGAGTGCCTCCGCGTCGTTGGGCCGCCGATAACTCCACGGTTCCACTCGCGAGAGGCTAACAGCCCTGAGAAAGTCGACGGACTTCAATTCAGTGCGTCTTTAGAGCATAAGTTGTACTCATTGAGCGCATTACCGATTTGGGTTCAAACTTAAGCAGTCCTCTTTCACACAAGACGCGATACTTTCTATTAGTGATATTATATGAATTTATTACATTTTTCTACTATAGCATCTAGTCCGAATCGAAATTAACGATCGTAAGTCGAAATCCCAAATCTGTAGAAAAGCTAAATTATTCCGTTTCGCACGGGTTCTCGTAACCTGCATATTTTAAGATTATATTCGCCATAATTAGTCAATGCTCAGTTCTTCACAACGTGGGTTTATGATGGTGATTTGAATAATGGTTAATAATAAGTATTCTTAAAGTGTTATTTTTAACTTAATAAAAAGAGAGACTTTAGACAATTAAAGTTTAGGTAAGCTTAGTTAAGACATAATTATAGCGTCATACTACAATTAGTAATAACAAAATGCAATAATTATTTTGTTTCCAATTCTCTGAGAAGTTTGTCGCGTGTCAGTGTACTCGCACGCGACTCGCCACAGATAATGATAAACGAGTTGAACGGTGTTACCAGTGCGAATAACCATCGCTCGATGGGGTTGCAAGTAAAAATAATTGGCGCCCCGCGGACAGACGCGCGATAATGTTTTGATAATGATGAGTGCTTTTGTCCGAATAAAGCTCCGATTTAAGTCTTTTTTCGTGATTTGTTTATTTTTTTAAGGGCAGAGTAGGGTAGTAGAGTGGAGTGCGTGCACAAACATTTAGAACTTTGTTATCAATTTCAATAATCGCCAAAGTAACTATTTACCAAGTTTTTACTAAAAATGGTTTTCCTTAATTCCAAAGCTAGTCTCACAAGAACTTTATTTGGGCGCCACGGAAGACAAACTCAACGAACTTGTCTGCTTGTAGCTTCTAACTAGGTATGTTATGCATTTCATTCTCTAACGAGCGTCAGTGGTTAAGAAATAAATGTAAATGTTTCGTCGAAGTAAATTTAGGCATTGCCGTTTCGTCTTTATTAAAATTCAATTATGATCATCGCAGGAGTTCACACTTCCGAGAACACAAAATTAAAACGTCAGCCTCTAAGCGTACAAAAAGCGACGCCAACACTCGACTGTCAAAAGATTTATCCTAACCTGCATAAAGACATCTAAACAAATGAAATAAATTACGAATCTAAGTGAGAAAGGGTGC